GGCAGTGAAAAGTGCTGAGTAGAGTCTGAGCGGGCCGCTCTTTCTCCTCCGCTCACAGAACGAGCAGCGACCAGCCTGCGTCCTCTAGCCCCTACAGCGCTGCTTAACACCAGGGCTTCGACTTCAAAATTCGAATATAATTCTAAAATAAAAAATATATACATATTTGAACAAATATTAGACAACCCTTATAATTAGAAATGTATTTAATGACTGCGAATAAAATAGTTAGCTCCCAAAGGTTTCACCGGGACGTGCTAGGCAGGTAACAGCTAAGCTAGCTAGCTGTTTCATGGTAACTTCCGGGTTTTTCGCGATCACTTTTTGTCACTTTAAAACAGTATTTTTGTCATGAAAACGTTGACAGCAAATTCTGAAATCGTCCGTGCATGTGTGTTAAGGATGTATATGTATACTGTATTGTCCGATTGACGTTTAATGGTGTTGATTGATAGATATGTATTTGTTTATCGAGCGTGGCTAGCTCCGCTAGCTTCTCTACACAGACAAGTGTGCAGAGAAACTGCACAGTGCAGTGACAGGCGCTGATAGCTTGTTGTACTTGCAAAGTAATGGCAGTATTTTACACACCTGAATTACAAACCGAGATTGCATTGGGGCTGCGGTCATTATTGGATTGAGAGTTCTGTTATCAAGAAGAAATTATCGGAAGAATTGCATTCAAGTCAATGGAGTGTTCTGCTGCTGCTGTGAGGAGCTGTATAATAAATTATAATTAAATATTAGAATATATTCTAATGTTTAAATTAATACATCCGGACGCGAAACTAATGGTATTCTTTTACTTATATATCGTGTTAGCAGTGCGTTGCTTTAGTACCATTTCATCAGTGATTGTTGCACGGCTTACAAGTTGCGCTAATGCTAATGTTAGCATATGTATCAGATCGCAAATAAAACTAGGTGGCTCCGTGGGATGAGAGCGCAGGTGAAATGAGAAGCCTGTGAGCGAGTTGGGGGGCGGTGCTAAACATTCAAACATTGTAGAAACGGGTATAGCGCCTTTAAGATACCTCTTAATTAGATTAATAAAAGAAAAACTGTCAATCTGGTTCCCCCTGTAGTTAGACACAAAAGACCGTTTTCAAAAAGGAACTAATGAATCACCCATGTTTAAACTTCCAAAGGAGGAGACCTCACCACTATACCTCTGAGCTATACACGTTATACTAGTAATCAATTACAACAAGCTAATGAGGCTGTGGATTGATTGGATTGGCTATTTCACTGGATCACAGACAGACGTGATATTAATTTTATACAAAAGATTAGTTTCAGGTTTTTAATCAATATAAAGGCTTCATGATACAGTCAGTACGGTGGGCTAATGTGGTCCCTGAGAGCACTATAGGCAAGATAATACATTTGATTTCAAACTACTGCAGCCTTGTAGTTTATGGAGACATATTCTTGGGGTCACGTTGTTAACCTGTTAATACTTGATTATTTTTAAGTAAAATGTTATCACATTTATGACACAATGAAATTCCTTGATATGAAATAGGCTTTTGGGACCACATGTTTGTTCTGGTAGTGTACAACTATTAGGAAAGTACCAGATATGTCCTAATCATTACTTCGGGCATCGACAATCAAATGAGGAAATAGTTTCAACAATATTAGTCCGAAACAATGCCACAAATCAGCAGATTACTCCATGTGTCTTTTCTGCTATTGTTTTCTGCTTGAAGACAAACACAATTGCTCGTAATCAGATTCCTCCAGCTCAAATCACTATTCTCATCATGCCGACTTGCTCCATCCATAACTCTCCTCTCCGGAAGCAAACATTGAACTCAAATATCTTCCAGTAAAAAAAGCAGAATAATGTGTAAGACGATGAAATCTGTCTCAAGGCCGTCTCGACTTCCCAATAAGTGCTGAGTTTGTGCTTGTGTGTGTGTTGAGTGAAAGATGCCACTGGCCACACTTGCATAACACTGCTAGTTTGGATGCTAACAGTCTCCATAGCAACTAAATTAATGGCTGCATAAGTCTCGTTTTTCTTCTTGCTCGTCACATAGCATCTGCTGCCGTCAAAAATGTCCCGTCAACGAAATCCTGAGTTTGGACGTTGGGTTTATTTATTAAACCAACTAAAATATCAACTTTTTGTCATAGTTTTAGTTGATGGTTTTTGACCCTAACCCTTAAAAAATATTATGGTCAGTTATATTTCCCTTAAGGCACCAGAGTTATCAGAAATTGGATGTGAAAGATGTAACTCTGAAACTTGATGTGAGATACTGGACTGAACCAAAATCAATAACAGAAAAAAATAAATGAAAGAAGTAATAGACTCAACACAAGACAAAACCAACTTTAGTTTTGTTATATGCAGTTAGGTTTTGTTTTTTTAACCATTATTTAACCAAGTTCCATTGAGATTAAGATAAGATAAGATAAACTTTATTGATCTCACAATCATGGGCGTCGGACTGGGGGGGTAAAGGGTACCGAGTACCCAGGGCCCAAGGCGGGGAGGGGCCCTCTAAATTGTGTCTTTATATTTATATGTATTAGGCATTGTGGTATATTCATATTATTACAATTTGAATGAAAGGGGCCCTGTATAAAAATAACCAACGTTTTAACCTCAGTTTTCCTCTAAAAACAAATTTGTATGCTATATCAGGGCCCTGCCACCCCCTTACAAAAGATCAAATGGTACGACCCACATGTGCGCTTGTTGCTGTGTTGCTGCCGCTGCAGCGGCAGAAGTGGGAAAAATAGAAATGTCTTTTCCAAAGAAAGGAAAATCAGGATTTCAGAAAAGAAAAGAAAGACAGGACAGGGAGAAAAAGTGTAATGAGGGCAAGCAATTGCTTACTCAGTTCTTCCACACGAGAGGTGAGTATATAGAGACGTGTTAAGGCCACATCAGGAGAAAACCCAGAGACATTTGTTTCTGTATTCTAAACTCACAGAGAGCTAACATTGTGCCGTGTACGTGGTAAAAAAAAAAAACGTTATCCAGAGTGACACACAGACGCGCAGCTGTAAAGGGAGCTCACACACACTGCTGTCCACTTCTCCTTCAAAGGCAGGCAGCAAAGAGTTATTTTCATGTACAACCCTGTACCCTATATTCCCACTATTGTCATAATCTGTCCGTCCGTGAGTCTTGCAGTCATAAGTCACGGGTCACTCACTGGCCTCTGCATTGGATCATCTGGTTATAACCATACAAATCACACGCCCCCGCACCGATTTGGAGTTTTCTGGTGACATCTAGTGGTCAAAATAATGTAAATAAGTCTAATGGTCTAAGAGTTTCTAGCTCTACAATTATCTTAGTGTGTAAACAAGGGTGAAATGAGACTTTCTGGTGTGTAAACTATTGCTTTTAAGCCAGAAATGACAACTGACAATCACAGCCCAGACCATGCCCAACTGTAAGCCCCCCTTCTCCACTGGTGCCATTTTTACAGAAAAATTTCAAATGTTCATGTGGGCGGAGTAAGGCTAGGCACAGGTGTTTTGTTGAAAATGGAATAGGCTTATTTAAAAAAAGATTGCATCGATTGAATTTTGCCACAAAGTCTAAATTGGTGGATAATAATGAACCATAAAAAGTATTTTGTTGTATGTTTGTACAATAACAAATAAGTAACTTTTATATATATATATATATATATATATATATATAGTGAGATTTCATAACACTTTGAAGCAACTTTTGTTAAGGTTAAACTCATCATTCTATCAATGTGCAGAAGCCAGTACTTTTCCCTTGTTTTGTCTATCTGAAGGCCAAGCTACATGGCACCGTGGCAGCTGCTGATTGGAGGTCTCCATGCCTCCGCTCTGTATAATACACTTGCATTCTGTTGTATCTGTTTTTCATGCTGTCTCTACCATCGACAATAAAACATGTCTTCTGTCTGAATTAAAGACGCGATCCCAGACTTTGTCATCTTCTTCACATATATATATATATATATATATATATATATATATAAGAAACGTGTAGTGGGGGCATATACCCCTAACTGCAGTCCGCAGATCGGGGCGGAGCTCAACGTGGGCGGAGTCAAACGTTTGACTCCGCCCACCGCGGAAGTTTCTTTTTTTTTACGGAAGCGTTTTTTTTTTTTCATTTTACCCTGATTTTAATCTTGATCAAGGGTAAAATCATCAAGTTGATGATTTAAAAAAATAATTAATATTTATCGGTCCCGATATGCTTTTCATTCTTCTACTCCTTTGTATATTATGTATATTTATAAACTATTTTTGGTACCATTATTTATTATTGCACCTGATTCTGACCGATTCTGATGTTACGCCTAAGCTTGTAATAATATAAAAAGCTTTTGTATGGGACACCATTCATTGTTATTTATATCAGGATCACATCTGGTGTCAAAATGTAAATCTTTGGTAAAACCTGTTTCTTTTTGTCTCAAATGTAAATACCAGCTTACATAATAGTAAGGTTACATAATATTCTATATGCATTCTTGTCTCATAAAATAAATGATACTAAAATAATAGTAATATGATTACATTTCCATGAGCCCTCACAACTTTACACACAACTTTTTAATGAGGTTCAGCTCCCACTGAACTAGAACAGTGAAGTGAAATCAACATTTAATATCAGGCTTCTACTTTCAACTTGTCAAAAGCCTTATTTTTTTACTGTCCATTATTTTTTATCCATGCTGCCTTCATTTAAAAAAATACAAATTCTTATATAAATGTATCCACTCAATTATATCAGCTACATTAAGGAGAACAGAGACTGAATTGTGCCACTGACACTTCTTAAAACATGCCGAGGTTTGAGGTGGGGTAGCGAGACAGTGGACCCAAGGATGCAGACTTGATGTTTCAAAAAGGTAAATTTTACACAAACAAAAGCCATAACCGGAACACAGGTATACAAAAAGTACAAACAAAATCACCAAAAACCACACTAGGAGAACCAAAACAAAGTGAAAATGCAAAGAAATGCAGCATGTGTGAGCAGAAAATTATCTCATTTCAAAGCCGGAAAACACCTGCAGCTGCCTTTTGTCCATCATTTCCTTGCAGAACTCCTCATAGTCTGCCTGCAAACTAAACATGAACATGAACGGTTCACTGAGGTCTTCTTTATACTCTTCATCCAGGCCATCACACATGCGCAGCATTTCCACTGCCCTGCCAGCTACTTCGCTCTTCTTCTCCTCTGCTTCTTCTCCTTCTCTGTCATACGCACAGTCCTCAATGCCTAGCTCCCGCTCGGCGGAGCTCAACGTGGGCGGAGCTCAACGTGGGCGGAGTCAAACGTTTGACTCCGCCCACGTTGAGCTCCGCCCCGATCTGCGGACTGCAGTCAGGGGCTACTCAGTGGGGGCCCATTGAGACTGTTTGTACCCGGGGCCCAGAATTTGGTGCTACCCCCCTGCTCACAATGGTGAAATGGAGAAAGAAACTGTTTTTCAAGGGAGTCCTGGACAAGAGGCAGCAAAAGATAGATTATAAAAACGGTAACACACAAACTAATACAATAATTTCAATTAAATATCTATTGGTATTCCTTTTTTTGAAAAGTAGTTTCTGTAATCAAACTGAAGTCTTATTTTTCAGCATATGATTTGCTTTCCAACATTGAATGCGAGTTCAGTATTGATTGGATCTTAATATTGTAAATCTCAGTAATGTAATACAGGCAGAATTGGTCTGCGCAATCAATTAATCAATTTTACGTATTGACATTTACTAATTTCAAACATTGATGAGTTAGTAATTAATCTTGCAGCTCTAATACTGGTTTGAATAATACACACTCCACTTTTCCAAATGTTTGTTACGCCTCTGGCTCTGCTCTCGCTTTCACGCCATATCTTTCAATTTGTCCTTGTCAATCAAACTGTAGCTTCATTTGCAAATTAATTAGTCTTGCCATTTCACTACAGACGATCATCTCTTGTCAGTTAACTTCACCTCATGCAGCCGCACCGCACAAAATGAAACCATTCCCAGATGACACTTTGAGCCTCCAGCTTCGTTTGTATAGCCTGCTTCTTCCTGCTCTCCACCCACAGAGATCTCGAGTCTGTCCTGCCACTAGAGCTTGTTTCATGATTATTCATTACTAATAACAACAGGTCTTTGAATGACACGCAAACTGTACGAGTCATTTCTTCACCTCCTCATGTTGCTTTCATCTTGTCCATTCATCCAGGCTCCATCCTAGTGCTAATTACCACTGTGCATACGTAATTTATTTTCACCTGAAGTCTTCCCTTTGCCGCTTCGTCCCTTGGCACTAATGGTCAATTTCAGATCCTATAATGTCATGAAGCTCGACTTGAAGAGGGGATATAATGGAAAATGTATTTCTTCGTATGTAAACAGTAGGACTCAGTTGGTGTTAAAAATGTGTGTTTAGACTAGATTTAAAAACATTAAATGAGGGAGCTCCAAGATGCTCTATTGTACAGAGGTAAACTAGTCCCTACTTTAGGAAAAGCAACAGCCTCAAATTTTGAGACAAGACATGGACATGACCTGGGCAAGATATGCAGGGGCTTGTAGTTGAAAAATAATCAACCCTGAATGTGATTGGCAGCCAGAGCTCAACAATAAATATCAATAACCATTTACAGTAAATGTAAGTAAGCTTAATTCAGTGCCTTTCACAGGCCACAAAGCGCTTTACAATAAAACCCAAATAAAATAAAAGTTTAAAATACTATTTTAAATGTGCGTACAAAATTAAAATGGCCAAAACAACTCAGTGACAGATTAAAACAGCCTCCAGAAAATCAAGCAAAAGCTTGCACAAATAAATAGGTTTAAAGATTACTTTTGAATTGACAGATTGTGGCCTATTCTCCCCATTCAAACAATTGAATCACCACACAGGTAACCTGAGTGGCCCATCTTGCAGGTAAACTGAAAGAAAAGTGCTTTCAAGTAGTGCAAATCATACAGTGAGGTCTAGACCTTTTGTTATTGTGACCCACCAGTTATCTTTCCTGATCTGCATGCACAAAGATGCACAACATGCACAAACTTCACACAATAGCCGTGGGGTTTCACAGTACATTTCAGTTTAACAAGCAGAATCACAACATTAGGACAAAAATAAAAGTTTCCACATATTGATCCATCTCAATTTTCAATTGCATTTTTTCTTATTGAAATTCATACTTACAGGCGGAAGCAAACATTTTACTTCTGTTTTGTTGCCGGGTCCCAGAGACGCACATGCATATGTCAATAATCAAGATCAAGATTATTTTTCAATCATTTTTTGGCACAGTCATATTTGTAATAGTGATAATATCACAGCTGTATCCTGTCTATTCATCAGGTCCTTTAAAATGAAATGATGTGTTGACAGGGCCATCCAAAACATATAAATACTCCTGCAAATAAGAACACAATCATGAATTCAAATCAAGTAGATGAAAAAATATCAGTAAGTAAGTAAGTATTCTTTATTTATATAGCGCCTTTCACAGACAAAGTGCTTTTAAAATTGTTGTGGCAATTTTCAGCAAAGAAGAAAGAGCTACAATTTAGTCAGTGTCTTGTATCCATCTCAAAACAGAGTCAGTTTTTCTGGCTTGTGCTGAAGAAATCTGTCACTAACACAGCAAGTAAGCACCACAATAAAACTACTGTTACTTGTCAAAAAGCTTTTGAAGCAGGATATTACGTTTCACAAAGGCTTTTATAGTTCTTCTGATATCAAGAGAAAAATACAATAACTCTTCTCTTTAAAACAGAATGTCATATGATCGAATAATTGCAATACACTGCAAAAGTGAGAGAGGACAGTTGTTTTCGCAGTGAATAGAGAAACTTAACCACACTTTGTGACAATGCAGAATGAGAGCAGTGGATATCGGGAAACTGAGCAGTTTTCGGTCAAAATCCTGCAGCATAAAAATGAAATCAAATTCTGAGCCCAGGATCAATCAAATGACCGAAGGCACTTTCAAAAACGATCTGTGACACTAATCGAGACTCAAACATCAGTGGAAATGCCAGAGGAATTTTACACGTTAACTATTTTTTTTCTCATATCTTGTGATCCACCTTGTTGGAGTAGTACATGTCAACATCCTTGTAAGTGTAACATAATGTCGGTGCTTTTACACAACACTGGAGGCGCCTCTGTCTCGTTAACATTGTGGCTGCAGCTATGACGAAGAGCGTCTCCAGTGACCCCCACCATCTACTGCTTTATCCGTCTGAATGTGCGGCATAACTCCGGCGAAAAGGCTGAGGGGGTTTCCATGACAACTGCATGTGTGGAGAAAAATTAAGCAGAAAGTGGGAAAGTTGCGAGATTTCATCCAAAACATGGTGAAAAATTAATTCCCAAGGACAAACATGTGAATGTGCTTATAATTTCAAAGACACAATCAATACAAAAGAGGTGAGATAGCTTGGGGTTGATTCATCGTTAACTACAGTTCTGTCCCAGGACAATCCACACAATGAAAATCAAATCTACACTTCCAAGAAGTTATACAGAAGGGTTTTTAGAGTTTCCTATGTTAACATCACCAAGCCACAAGAAGGAATTCATGATTCAATTAATTCTTGTATAGCCCTTAATCACAGCAGCAGTTATCTCGTAAGACTTAACATAACCGTTGAATTCGCCAACACAGATCAGAATAAAACAGTTCAAACACAAAAATGCAATGATAAAAAAAACACATAAAGCCATTAGTCCATAAGGGGCAGATGACCAATGTCCAAAAATTCTAATTCATATACAATTTATCATGGTTTTCAGGGTTTTAAAAAGTCTTAAATCTGTCATTTATTTTTAAAAACCATTATCCAGTTCTTAATTTTGACGATGTCCACCAGATCCTTATTTCACTGGAGCGACAATTGGGGGACATAAAAACAGCCCTTTACTGCGGCTAATACAACTTTAAAACCTTCTCTCCTTTATTTCAGTAACTTATTTTTGATGGATTAAAAAGTCTCACATGCGACAGAAACCATGTATTATATATGAAGAGTTCTTTGAGGATCAGAAATTATTCTGGTTTGTAAGTTGTGTCTTTGCCAAATAATTTGCCAAAACTTCTTAGGGAAACATAATCTCTAATTGGGCAGAAAAAGCACAACTATTGCAACACCCAATGTAGTTGTTGAGAGTGACAAAGAATAACTAGCTTTTACAGTCATTAGAGTGAGACAGCTCCTCCCAATCGTGTTAGCGAAGGAGAGAGCGAGTTGTTTCATCTTGGTGAAGATCAATAAAAGACTGGATTTGTTTCCCACAGAGTTACTTACACGCACACACCGAGCCGAGCCCACCCACGCGGCGGTCTGCTCCAAAACACCTCTCTGCTGCATCACCACTCCACTGCAGACAGGAAAAAGGGCAACGCAAGGTTTACTTCTGTGATACCTATCGACAGGAAAGAAGGCAACGTGTGAAAGGACTGGAGTAGCACAGAGGGTGGATTGTAAAGAAATGTATCTACTGTAGTCACATGGCAGAGTTTGAAATTAATCACGAGACGAGCTGTGTGCGTTTCTTTGTGGTTTCGGGACATAAACATATGTTGTTGTTGTCACAAAGATGATGCTGGTCTGGTGTGTGTGTGTTGAGCGTTTCCTTTATTGAGTAAAGAGTACTGGGCAGATTGAGCTGTCGGAATGCGATGGTAAGAAATTGAGGTGACCAATAAATAGCACTCAAACCGATATAAAATATGTTGACACCAGTATTTTCAGCTTCAATGCCTGTCGACCCCTAGGAAGACCCAATTAGAATTTCAGGGAGATCCGTGGGTTTGGTGGGGCATGAGTATTCTTCCACAGTACGGTATTACTAGTATCTTGCAAGTATTCACGTTTTTGAATGTGGTGATGGTTAAATATCATATAAGGACTTGTTCACACTGAAGGGTACAAAAGTGTGACAAAAGGCAAAACATTTGATTTTAATAATTAGAAGATGTATTATGTTTTTCATTTATCAAAATACCTCTTCTGTCCATTAGTAGTTGCTAGAAGGAAATGGATTTATACATTAGTCAAGTTTTCTATAGTGGCTCTGTTAATTTGTGTAACGGACCTGATGCCTTTGAGTTTGTTACATTTTTTCATATGTCCACATTTGATTAATAGGTTCTTTTTTTTGCACAGAGTAGAAAGAAAGTGAATACTTTCATATAGTAAACTAATTAAATGTGATACCAGACCATCATGTTTTTCCAGTTTCATTTTGAGAAAAAGGGTCATTTAAATTTAGATTATTTTTCAATTAAATGTTTAAATGTTTTATTATGCCTTATGCTTTCTCTACTTTTGACTTGTTTGCACCGAGAGCAAAAGCAATTTCCTAGTTGGGACTTCCTGTTACTTACACGGCAATAAAAATGATTCTGATTTCTGATTCTGGGTTTGAAATATTTTTTGTAATCTATGATAGTACATTTATTTTTTGAGTTATAACCTTTTCATTTTCATTTCATTAGTTTACCTTTTAAAGTCCAGATACTTTAATTGACACTTTAATGTGAATACAGCCACTAAAAAATATGTCGACTCCAACTGCATTCAAGCTGAGAGGCAAACGATGGAATTTTTTCTTATAGGATCATGCCAGCACCATGAGGTCTGATACTGTTATATTTTGCAGGGACAAACAACATTTATTATTTATGAAACAAAAAGTTTGCTTCCACAAGTCCTTTATTTAACAGGACTAAGAAAATCCCACAGGGTCCTCTTATTTTTGGTTGATCTTTGCACCAGACACTTGATCGACCCACTGACGCACTCACCTTTCCTATCCTTGAAAATAACTGAGTGGTGTCACCTCTCCACAGATTTGATCGGAAACTTTTGAATTATTATTCTTCTGACATTTGAGATAGCCTTCTGACTTCTTAGTCTCCAGATGGAGGAGTTAATGTGAAAGATTACAGCAACAACATCCATAGTACAGAGAGCACAACATTCTTGATCATCTCCAGGAGTCCAGGGTAATATCACAGGAGGACGTTCTGTATAACGACAACATTTTGTGTGTGACTAACATTGTTTTGGATGTACCAGTCCATAGCAACAGGTGTCAAATAGCTGAAACTGAGCCGAGGGAGTGTATGTAGGTGAGATATTAGACAATTTTGAAAAAAAACTTGATTATTAGGTCAGGCGAGACATTTAATGTTTTAGTAATTTACAGAAAATAATCTTACAAAATTAGCAACTTCGTCAAACAAACAAAATCCTTAAACAATTATATATTAATTACATGACAGATTTAACTCTATTATTAAGGCAAATTTCCCTGGGCATGCCATGTTTTCTCATTCTTGTATGTTTACATTGATGCCACTCTCTTACATCCAATGGACTTGTACCTGTGCCTTTACAAAACAGTCCTCTATCTCCTAATCAATTGGAGAAACAACAAACCCAATCAATAGCATTGATCCTGACCACCGCATCACTCAATTAAGCAGCACTTTGAACCAAATAATGCCACTGATTTAACCACCTTCTCTGCTCCCACTGCCCCATGGGAAAACGGCATCGCACACACTCTAATGAGCAGCAGCCTGACAGCAGCAAACATCAGGATCCAGGTCTGACAGGGAGCTTTTCTCTAATATTTTCTTTGTTAGACTCTACAAAGAAGTAAAAATCTAACAGGGAGAGCCGCTTATTCTGTGATGGAGAATGTCCACTGTGTTTATGGGACTTTGAAGAGCATTTTGTTTCAGTGGAGGCATCTGGCGAGACAGCATGCAGCAACATCTGTGCAGTGGAGCAGGTGTGTGTCGACATTAAAGATGTAATGTGAATCTATTAAACAAATTCAATGTGATTATACTCAATTTCACATGTGGGCATCACCTGCTGGCCATTGTGTAAGCTGAAAGTGAGTGTAGTAGCACAGGAAATTAATACAGCTGATTCTCAAATGTATTAAGGATTATTTGTAGTAGTAGAATCGTTTGTAGTAATAGATTACAGATTATTTGTAGTGATTATTGGAAAACCAAATTAACCTGTTTGAACAATTATCAAATGTGTTAAAGAGCTTCATCTTACGTTTCAACATCTCTTTCATACTCAGAATATCATTTCATTTGTTTGAGCATTTAAATCATAGTGGTAAATGCTAATCATACTGAAATATATATATACAAAAATAATGTTTGTGTACCTGCAAAGATCTATTTATGATTTTTTGATCCACCATTTTTAGTTAGTTGGCCATATTTTCCCAATTGTATTCTATATTTTGTGTTTCTGTGTTTTTCATGTATCCCCACTGGTGATCTGCACAGCTCTGAAGGCGACAATCTGATTTAACATTTACGTTTCAGGTAAATTACTTTTTTCCTTATATTAATATCCCCAAATGTACATAAAATATGAAATGAATGTAAACAAACCGTTAATTACTTTGTGAGTAAATAGTGTCTTTATAGTCTCACTTTGTTAAATCTAAACCATACAATACCACCGTATTTTTAAACGCCGTATAAATATAAATGTCCTACAGCTGTCCTTCTTATGTTACAGCAAACAAGTCAGGGTTAATTTAATCCAGGCAACCTAATCCAATTGTGTTTGATCAATATGGCTTTAAGAAGCAGAAAATGACCCTTTGTGTTATGAAGATAAGAGACGTGAGGAGGAGAAAGTGGGTCAACAGAAGAGAGATAATGCATTTTAAGTACTCTGTCCAATTTGGCACAAAGCTGAAAAAAATATATATAAGTGGAACGGGTGCTTCAGGGGTCAGATTCAGGAAAGAGCAGGAGTTATAGCAGAAATAGTCCACAAATATATTTTTTCTTATTATTGCTATAAGCATTCACAAAAATTTTCTTCTGTAGGACTCAAACACTTAATAGCAGTTCAAACAGCAATTTATATTACCATTATATGCATAAAATCTTCTCTATAGACTTCTCTGAACATTATAAAGCGCTTTGGGTGACCTTGGTCTGTAAAATGCGCTGCATAAATAAACATTACTTACTTACTATAGATTTATTGTTTTATCAGCCAATATTAACAAGTCGCCTGTCAGGGAAGAGGGAAAGATGTCACCTTTAACCTAATGGCTTGGATTATGTAAGAAATTATGGTTCATAAATATAAAAAAACGTGTCATATCTCTGCAGTCTGTGTCCTGCAGCACTGAGCTAATCTTCTTAACAAATCACAAGGTTCGACTGTTGGACCAGACCAAAGTTCAGCCACCAGCACGAGCTACTACAAAGAGAAACCTGAACGGGAAACAAAGTCAAGTTATGTGGACGTGAAGCTGAATAAGGATAGCTACTTATGCCGGAAAACATGGGCAAACAAATCTAGAATCTTGTACCTTCACTTCAGGAAGTCAAGGTAAGCGCCATAGGCTATGATTCATTTACCATACACAGATTTTGTGACTAAACTATTGAAATGTATGGTCCCTAATGTTGTAAATACTGCATAACACAAATATATACTACAAAATACAAAGTACTTCACTCTAGTAACATCATGACAACACAAAATGTACCTTAAAGCTGGGCTACTTCACTTTCAAACCAAAACATTTCCTACGTAATAAAATCCATGTAACTAGTTCCTCGCGCTATCAAAACAGTTTTGACATGCATGTATGTATTATTGTCCTCTGTCACATCTTTAGATCAACTTTTTCAGACAAAAGTGAAAAAGAGAGGACCACCCTCAGCCAAGTGTCAGTGACTCACATGCAGGACTCTTTGTAAAGTATGAAAAACATAACGTTTTATAATAAGGTAACAGCAGCAAGATGGGGTCTAGTTTGTACACATGTTTCTTTATCAATATTCTTTTATGGGACAAATAAACGTAAACAAAATTAAATTGTGTACCCCAGCTTTAATTTATTGTTCATTTTATGGGTTTTAATTAAGTCTATGCAGACCTAGATGCGCATCCAATACTGTAATATTTAAGATGCATAAGGTCACATTTCTGGTCTAATGCCATATTCAAAAGGGCATACCAATAATTCCATGTAGAGAAGCAAGCAGCAGACACTCTATGAAATGTTGTTACACCATGTACTGCGTATTCCAAACAAAGCCAAGTCAGATGAGATCAAAATGTATCTTATGACGTATTGCTGCTTTATAAAGAAAGCTTATTAGAGACTGACAATTTTCAAAGTTATACAGAAGAATTATATGATTCGATTCTGAGCTCTCACGAGGACTTTGACCATAGCACAAATTCATAGCATGCAAGTACATGCATCTGTATATTTTTTCAAACAGTACAGAGAGATGTAGAATACAAAGTTTGCCCGCCTTGGCTCACCCTCTCTGCTTCCCAATTGGAAATGACTGTAAGGCAGGTGAGAGCTCTTCCTCTTAGTCCAACTATTCTCCAGCAAATCCTACTTGTGGGTCAAATAGAGTATTTTATAATGCAATAGAAATAAAGTTACTGACACCACCAAGTGTTAGAAATTACCTGGTCCTAATAAAGCACTTTCTCTGCTTCAGTGTCCCAGGGGACCATGGGGGTCTTGGCTGCTCCATGGGCAGACCTGGCTCTGTTCTTCAGACACTTCAGTGACGCTGAGGGAGGCTCTCATCTATGGATCTGTGGACTGGTGTTGTTCACCTGTGTGAGCCTCATTCTCCTCCAACTCATCATGTTGTTCACCTGGAAACTACGTCAGGGTGAGGCCAGAGTAGGAAACACCAATGGATGTCATATTAATCACACACTATAGAACTATGTAGTGTCAATTTATACTACAAATTATTCAACCAAATCGTGCCATACAAGCCACATAATGTCCTTCACATTTTTGATGAACAATAGACAATTGAAACTACAATAATGAATCAGGATAATCTGTTTAGTGCGATTGCATTTAATTCAGTAAATATTTCTCCAGTGAAGGCAATTACGCAGTCATTCAATGTATTTACTTGTCTGTTGACTAAATGATTTATGTTAATGTACAGTTTAGCTAGGCTCTAGTCTTTGCTAGTTCAGATACGGGCAAGAGAAGACTCACCATTTAGTTAAAAATCTTCCCTCGTTTAATCCAAGGACCCAATATTAGTTTTGTTAAGATGACGATAAATTATCAACGGAGAAACATTGAATTTTCAGAAACTAAATGTGTTTCTTGGGTTTTCTGTGCAGTTGAATCGGAGTTGTCGATGGCCCTGAAGAGGAGCGCCCTCTACAGGCCACACGACACCGGTGCAGACAGCGAGAGGAAGAACTGATGGATTTATACCATGGATCTATTATGATTTATACAAGTCTATTCAACTGACCGTAGACGAAAATTAAAATTCACAATTGTGGACTTCAGCAAGTCTTTGGATATAGTTACATGTTGACGCGTGTTTCTTGTAAACATTTCTACACTTGTGAAACAATCATCATAATCTATTTTGTCACTACTGCTCCTGTGAAGTTGGGAATACTATGAAATACCATGGTGGAACTACAGTGAATATTCAAATTTTTAATCAATAAGAAAAGACAGTAGTACAATCATAAAACATGACAAAGCTTTATTATTAAACAGTGGAACACAAGGAGTCTGGATGTGTGTGGGGTTTCGGGAGACACAAGACACTGAAGCGGCTAGATAAAATTCTATTGAAAATGATTGGATAAAAGGAAAACAATGGGGCACACGGCTAGATTTGTGTTTTGTTTTTTTACGAGACATTTAATATAAGAGTCGATTCAGGCAATAATTAAGTTGTTTCACTGTTGTCAGTCACACGTTACATTTTTAAAAACCAGAACCATATGCCCCAAAGCTCCTGTGATCAGACTACAGCGGCTAGGCCTGAGGCCAACACTACATAGACAATGTAATGAAAAAATAATTGAATCGGGTTTTCTTCAAACATTGTGACAACATTAAAATCGTGGCCTAACAGTTCAGCACAGGGCCAGTTTTACACACAATTGCATGTGGAAAATACCAAAACAAATTTGGAAAAGCACAAGTTTCCACAGCTGCCTAACATAAACTTCTTTAATTTATTTTCTAACATTTTGCCTCTTAGTAACTAGAGGTTAAAGCTTGTGTGGAATGTTGTTAACTGCATAGTAACAGCAAAGCTAATGTGGCCAAAAAAAATCTGAAAATAATGTTAAAATACAGTAATTCTTTCCAAGATTTCAGTCATTGTTCAAATTTGAAGTAGAAATGAAGGTCCTGTCAAAAGGTTGTTTATTTTTACATTTCATGATGATTGTAACCGGCAAACACAGTGTTAACAGCTTCTGCACAGCTGCAGAATATTAAACAGAAGAGCTGTTTATTCCATCTGAATTCAAGCACTAATACATGAACCGCACGACAATTCTTCAAAGTTTGTCCAGCTCATTTCTCCCAATCAAGTCTCCCACTTTCTTTTGACCACACTGCTCAAAAGGAAATATGTGTTGTACTGAAGGATCACAGCTGAAATGTTTTGATAATGTCTAAAAACTGGACATTTAGTTAGTGGTCTTGAATAAATGCACACCAGAGATTACTTAGATAAATTATCCAAATACTATTAAAATATCTTATAAAAACTGTAGCTTCTGGTCGCATTAGGAATGAAGTGGAAAACGTACTTTATAGAAAAACAAAAGTAGAAAATAAAAAGTTGCGGTCAAACTTCCTTTTGAACGTTATGACCAGTTGGCCGCTTAGTTAAGTAAACCAAATCTTTGAGTTTACATCGTGTAGTGACAAAGAGATTCTCATTAGGTAACATTTCTAAGAATGCATCAAGTTCATCGGCTGAAGACTTTGGGAAAGAAGACACATCAAAAAGGTCCTGTTATTGTCACACCGACATCGGCACAATAATTTATCATGTTAGCCTCGTTTCTACTCTCCGCATTGATCATAGTGCATTCCTATGGATTTTCATTCGGTGACACATGACAAAAACTTCTTTCTTTGCCAAATAAACTGTTACGGAGAACTTGCTAAAAATATAAAAACAGGCTACAAATGTTAAGCTAACAAAGTGGTTCTTTTGTTCCCTCACAATGAGCGAGGACTTTTCTTTGTTTCAAAATCAGAGGTTCAGATGTGTGTCCCTCGTACTCAGTCAAGGTCTCAGTGGTTGTCAGCGGACGCCATGGCCACTTCAGCTCTGCAAAAGCAAAAACATACAAGAAACACTCAATCAGCACTGGTGTCAAGAAACTTTTTAAATTTCTTCAATTTATTTTTTACACCCAAATATCTGTACTCCTTATATTTCAACAAAGGGTTATGTGGATAAAAAAGTGCACATAAGTCCGTTCATTGTGGTTAGCCATGCTTCTCAGTTGAGATAACAGCTGTCAGTATGAAACACTTCGACAACAGCATTATGATTCACCGTTAGTTTCACAGGTAACAATAAATAAGGGTCAAATACAAACATATTCCCTTAAAGAAAATGTAACCTCTTTTACATGTACTTTAATACATTTACTTTGGTTAAAGTATTTAAGTCATTGTTACCCGAGTAGATACATTGTATACAAATATCTATATACACAACTTATACTTTTTCCACATATCATTTAGAAATGGTGACACAGGTATGCTGTACAGAATAGATCAGCTAGAAGATACTTTAATATATTTATTTATACTATATATTGTTATTAAAAAGGGGTTAAAATAGTGTTTTAATCTTTGGGTTTTCATTTCCTAATGTCAGTATTGACTGGTAATGGGGCACTACAGAGGAAGAGCTGTTAAAGATTTATGATGACATAATACTACAGACCATAGTATCATTTTGAAACCAGACGTCAGAAACTGCACTCAATTACTTTTACCCTCACTATATTGTAATCACTTGTAGGACCATATCCATACCATATGAAAACGGGAAAACATTTCAGTCTCAACCCCATTCACTTCACGGATGATTAAATATCAGCTACCATGACAAATTAAGGTAAATTAAAGCTCATTTGAGATCTATTCAAAGAATCTGAATATCTTTAAGGAGATACGGCCACCACTCCACTGCTGGGATTACCTTTGTGAGTCAATCCTCCTCCTCGGCCAATTCAGTTTCTTTATGAACCACCACCCGTGTTACAGACATGTCAGGATGCTGCTCTTTGGCCTCCTTTATGGCCTGGGCTAGTGCCTGGAGTGACCAAGGGCAAACATACATGGGTAGCATCACACACAGCAGGCAGAGGGGCAGGAAATGAAAAAAAAATAACAATAAAATAAGCAAAACACAAAATGGCATTATGAAATAATGACGTTTTTTAAATGGATAATCAAATCAGATTAATAGTAATCTGATAGCAGCAAATGTAAGTATGTTCCAATGTCTTACATTTGCTCATGGGTAAATCCAGCAACAAAGACAAATAAGCAAAGTAAATGACCATGGATAAGGCACCATGCATGTCTGGCAAATGTTATGTGTGACAAGGGTATTTCTTCTTACTAGACTAGAGCAATGCCTAGATTAACCACCAACTAAAGGATCAACATGGCAAGAATACACTAGTTTGTAGATTTATGATGCATCTTATGTTGAATTGTCACACACATTATAGATTATCTATGATATCTATAATGTATCATGTGAGTGAACACAGACCTCATCATGGTCAATGTCACAGTCCCCGGTGATGACGATGCGCTTCTCAATCCTGGTTTCTGAGAGTCCACCCTTTAGAGTCTAAAAATAACATAGGTTTAGTACGGTTTGTTAGGGTCCATGTGGAAATTCCATATTCCAACTATAATAGTTTCAGATTTCAATTAATCCAATGGATTAATTGTATGGATTTGCTGAGTCAAGGGACTCAGCAAAGTAACTACTGTACTTTGTTCCACAGTATTGCAATACATTTAGCATGTAGCAACATCAATTACAGGTCAGAGCCTCATTTATGGAATGTGTATACAACAAAATAATGTATATGTGTCACTTTCTTTGTGATCTGTGCAAATGATAAGACAGTATCAGTAGAAGTTTTCAGTTACATGTCACATTTTCATGATCGCAACATTTTTCTAATGCAAGCACCAGTTAGACCCACAGCTGCCTGATTGGACGCATGGAGGCCCCTCACTATTGGTCAAACTATTCTCCTCCAGAAAAAAATACTGGTAATGCAAAGGGAAGGGGCTGCTTTTATTATACTATCGACATATTTATCATATTTTTTTGATAAATCAGGCCACAGAAATGTGGTGACACAAGGGAGGCTGACCATATAGACGCAAAATGTTATCTTTCCTTCATGAAAAAAAAACACTGGTAATTTTAAAAAGGTTTGCAGTACCATGGAGACAAAAAAAGGAGCACCCCTTAATAGCAGAAGACAAATACAAACCTTGGTAATATGTGTGGTTGTCGTGGTGCACAGCGATTCAGATGTGATTGTCTGAGCAGTCATCAACACGCCAGGCTCGGCATCCCCATTCCCTTCAAGCTATAAAAGGACAAACGTATTGCATTCAACATTTCTTCATAGAGCCACTGATTACTTTAAATTCCTGTAGAGAAAAGGCCACTCTAGTCGTGGAATTAAATACTCAAGGCCTCTTTGGTCTGCAGTGTGCACCTGTGCAGCTTCATATGTGATGGTCTTGGTTTCCGTGTGAACGATGGGCACTTCTTTTGTGGCTATCTCGGTTTTTTGGGCTGCAAACGTGTCTGAAATTGTCACCATCTCTGTCTTTACCACCGGAGGCTGAATAAGCGAAGAGAAGAGAGATGGACAGTAAGGGAAAGTGGTTAGACAGTTAGTATCTTTAATCCATTGCTATACATTTTGGGTTTTGTATACAACTAGCCTTATACTATATGCGCAAAAAAAGCTTCTATGCACTCATCAAATAGCAAAAAGCAAAAAGGCATGCAAAACAGCAGCCTCCATAGTATTCCATTAAAAAAGGCAGAAAGAAAACAGTAATGAGATGATTCATGCAACGTGTGAGAGTGTTCCGACAACAACAAAACTATATACTCTGGGACACACCACAACATAAAAACAAAGAACAAGAGTCGAGGAATATGGAGTACATTCAACAACACTTAAAATGTGAACATGCAAAGACGACATCGAAATGGCAACTTGATAATGTTTAGCAATAGTGTCTCTGGTAGTTTTTTTTTTTAAATAGCCAATGAAACGATACAAAACAACACTGCCAAACATATGGAGGACACAAATACAAATACGTGCACACACTGACCCATCCACCGTGGCGAAAAAGCATGCACCCAAAAGCACCAAATTAAGCCCCAAATCAAGCCAACAATGCGACGTTCCTATTGGGACATGGCTGCTGCTATTAAATCATCATAGCCAGTGAATACGTGAGCAATTTCATAACAGTGTAAATGATGGAAATTATACACCCGCACTCAGAAATTTCACCATAAAAAGTGGGTTTGTATTCCATTTAATTGATAGGAATTATGTAGGAGCGCTTGATAATATGGGGCTTAAAAGTTCATGCAAGCAGGAAGGAAATAAACAGCAATGTGGAAAGCAGGAGGGAGGAGCCAAATGGGTGTCTACGTTGGGGGGAAAGCCGGTGGGCGATCCGCAGGCGGTCAGCTGGCGATGGGATTTACCTCAGTGCAACAAATAACTTGCGGGCGAAGTGCCGTCTCCATGTGCTGGCCGTTCACTTTGGGTTCTTCCTGCTCTGCGTCGTCACCCAGCGGGAGGCCGTTGGGGGCTTCGTCTGGGGTCACCATGGGCTCATCCACGCTTTCGTCTTTCTCCAGCACTGCGGGTGGCTTCTCCTCAGCGTTGTCTTTGGTCTGGGTTCCAGCTTGGTCCGTCTCTACCAGTTCTTGTCGCGATTCTGCTGGGGGAGGTTCTTGCGTGGCGGGTAGATCAACAGGTGTATCATTTTTTACTTGGTCCTCCTCCTCCTCCTCCTTCACCTCCTCCACCACCTCCACCACCACCACCTTCTCCTCTTCTTCCTTTTCCTCTGGGATTTGGGTATGGGATAAAGTAGCATGAGCATTCGGGTGGTACTCTGCCTCTTCTTCACTTTCACTTTCGGATGAAACGCTTTGTTTACACTGCTTTTCTTCCTCGGCAAAAGTCATTGCCTCTTCAATCTTCACCACCGGCTCGATTGGCACTTTTTCAACTGTTACAATCACAGGTTTGGTCGTCTTCGATACCTCTTGGACAACAACGGTTTCTTCTATTTCAACTTCAGCGGTCTATACGCACGCACACAACACACATGCGTGTTCCACAATGATGTACGCACGCACACACACACACAAACAAACAAACAAACACGCACATACACACAGCAAATGCATGGGGACAGAAATAAAACAAAATGATCATTGGGAAGCAAAATCAAAAAAAACATACAACTGAAAATACGGGGTTAGACTGTGAAAAACAGACTTTGAAAAGTAGCTATAGACACAAAAACTGATGAGAAATGCAGCCGAATAGATTGATGAAAATGGAATCTGCATTGAATGACGAGTAAAGTTAGGAGCACCTTAACTGGTTCTTTGGGTTCAGAGATCACGATTTCGACTGGAGAGGTTTCTGTTTGAGACACGGTCACCTGCACAACAAAAAGGTTTCCGTGACAATCTCAAAAAACGCTGCCAATATAATTACATCTCAAGATGCCGCCTTAACAAAAAAAGGGTTGCACTTATAACTAACATTCGAGGAAGTTCTATCACGTTTTTTTTGTTTCATCATTCATTTTAAAACAGCACTGCACAAAGACATTGCATTTAAACACACTGGGAAAAGAAACAGAAAAGCCAGAGGAAAGGAGCTGGAAGAGAAAGTACTACATGTTTTTGTTGACTGTTCATAAATACATTCCAGACAATACATGCCATTTGCTCTAGTTATTCAACACTCACTTTGGCCAAAAAGGTTCATTTCAATAAGACATGCTAAAAATAACATTGAATTCATTTGGTTTAGAATGCTTGAAATTTTGCAAGCATTTGAAGATCAGGTTATGGAGGTACTGATCTGCTTAGCATAATTTTAATTATGCCAGCAAAAAAAATGTGGGATCAGGGATTCCAATTCTATGCTTGAGAATATAACAATTCAATCTCCATGCCATTGGAGCTAGCAGCAGCACCTCTTTGGAGTGTGTAGACCAGGTTTGATGCCACATAGTTGTTCTTGTAGAATCTAGTTTTGAAAGGTTAAGATCAAAGAAATATCCAGTGTTTGTACCAAAAAGAATGGTCGCTATTTCATCTTCAAGGCTCTAAGAAGACAGATGGAAGAAAATATAGACACATGTGTTCACTCCACACAAACATGTACAAGTAGAGGATGCATGGAAAACTCCAGCTGAAAAGAACATTAATACACTGCAACCACCAGCACAGGTCTTTCGTTTGCAAAGTCACAAACATGGTCAGACGTACCACTGGCTGCGGCTGAACGCGTATCGTTGTAGCGGGAGAGGAGGTGAGACGTTTCTCCCACAGGTTGGGCTGAGGAGGTGAAGGGGGCGGCGCCTCCATAAAGGAGCGCTTTAGTTCGCTAATGCTAGCCTGGTGTTTCAGTACCTCATCCTGGGTCTTATCATGGTCCTATTTGGTTGGGTTTGGGGTAGAGTGGCAATGGGAAAGGAAGAAAGGAGCATATTAGATGGGTAATGGGGAGAGAGGTTGAGGTTTGGTGAATGAACATGTAGCAGGTGGGGGAAAGGGGGAAAGGGGCAGAGGAACAGGGGCAAGGTTGGTTCATAAATGGTTACAGAAACTTCAGTCTGTCAATCAAACGGACCCCATAATGGGTGCCCTGCCTCACTGGAGCACTTTTGGTGTGAAAATAGGACTCGTTTCCCCTGAGGGGATTCAGCAAATGTGCTGGCCTTTTTCAATTCGGAGTATTACCGGATTAGTGCTGCAGTGAATCAGGGCTTCGCCATTGTATTGAGCAGTTTTTACTTGTACCAACAACATGGAGCTGATAACAACAGCCGTGACATTTGGTAAGAGCATCACTTTTGAAACTCATAAAAGTTTGCAGTGAGAGTATATCTGGCCGATTTGGTTTCTGATGCTGCTACACCAGCGGTTTTCAAATATTGTTTAATTAATTAATAATGGTTTTCAAAGAGCATTCAAATAACGAATTACTGCCTCCCCATAGTCATTTTCCAAGAACAAAATTATCCATGTTTATAATCAGATCCATGTTGTACTTTTGAATAGGAAATATTTTGCATTTACTTTTAGTATGTTATTTAATCACACTGTTTGCTTGAGGCCAATCACCACAAATGGATGAGGCTCCACAGAAGGAAACTGTATTAGTCGGGTTAGGCACTCTCAACACTGACCAACATTGAAACACTCAACATGCAGAGCATGCATATCAATGCATTGGATGTCACATTCCTGCACCTCTTAACCCTCATCACAAAGCAGCCATTGTAAAACAGACAGCTTGGGAATGGCCTGTTGCAATGCTATAACGGATTCAAAAATGGTCAGAAATGCATAGTCTACTTTTTCTTTGCAAATTAAGATGTATCAGATTATTTTTCCTGCTGTCTGCAATTGGCTGCGTTGTTGGAAAGGACATAAAATCAAAATAGTATAACAATTTACATCTCTGCATATACAAAGCTCAGTTCACAGGCAAGACATGCAGAACACGAAAGGCCAGTCTGATACAGAACACAGCATGAAGTTCTGATGGCGTCAAGACTACATAGAAGCATGTAGTTCTATATAGCTCAGCCATCAGAGGGAGCCAGTACCAACCTCCAACATTAAATTACTGTGTCTCACATAAATATTGTCCCCATGCACAGAACTCTGAAAAGCAGACATACAGCAAAATAAAACAAGTGCAAAAACAAATTGTGCCAAATAATAGGGAATGTAGAAAATACACCATTAAAAAGTAAAATAAAACACAATTATCATAAATTATATAAAGCAGTCAAAAAGGGGAAAACCCCAACACAGCACAAAGGACCACAAAAAGACGGAAACTAAAACCGTGAAACCAAAAGCCACAACCAACAGCCCAATTCAGAGCCTGCTTTTCCAATCCAGGAAACAAGAGCATGTTTCAACTGTATATATTCCTGATTGGAAATTCAGCCCACCAGAACTAAGTGAGAAGCCATGATTGACAGACCACGACAAAACAGTAAGAGTTTGAACCTGAGAAGGAGCCGCCTCGCTGGCTCCAGGTGACTGTAGGTGCAGTAAAATAATTGAGAGGGATAGGTTAGGTTTAGCAGCCATACACTGAGCCATTATAATGATTTTCATGATTAGCAGACAGACCTGACTAGTGGCAGCCTCGTCATCACCAGGACTCAAATCCACCTTGAATATTGGTGATAATGGTCAAAATAATAAATATAAGGGCATCAAAAACTAAAAAGGTATATATAGGTAATGGAAAATGTGAATGGAATTAATGTTGTCCATGGCTTATTACGTGTAATGTGCAATTGTTGCCCCACAAGGCGGGAAAAAAAACACACTTTTATAGTAACATTTGTTATGACTCTAGCGTACAGGACAATAAATGCTCTGCGTTTATGTAATAAACATATCTCACATGTGCGTTTTGCTGTACATACATTTACACACCAGTATATATATATCACCAACACTAACCTGAAAGTCATCTACTGTTCTAGATGTTTTAACTGGCATTGCGCCACAAAACAGGGCAAAAACCTCAAGGCAAATACATCTATAATACTGCATTTACGACGTATTTAAACTGCATTTGAACTGTACTATACAATTATACAAACGCAACGGAAGCAAGTAAAAAATGTTCCCCACTTTTGGACAGCATAAGGGGAAAAAACCAGTACATTAGAGGGAAAAAGCATTGCAGCATCTTTGCAAAAGCAGACAATTATTTTAAGTGCAATTTCTATTTCATACATCTCTATATGGATTTGTCTTTATTTTGTCTACTCTTCTCAATATTTACACTTTTTACAGCTGAATTACATTTATTAATTTTCTAATTCTTCTAGTTAAAACTTTAGGAAAGCTTGAGGAAAGGGGAAAAGGTGAGAGCAAGCAAAAGATTGAAGCAAGGGAAAGATTCACAGTGTCACAGTTAAAACATTAAAAGGTAAAGTTAGGGGGAGGGGTTTGGTGTTGTGCTTGTTTGTTTCGGTCTATGCGGCAGGGTCACACATATCTTGAGTCCAGGTTTGTTGCCTCAAATGTGACGTCATGTGCTCTTGCAGTCCAGGGCTTAAATTGCCACAGTCGTCAAAAGCGACTGCACTTTCCGTCATAAACAGAGGGAGTACAGCTCTTCTTTGGCGAGGAACCACGCTCTCCATGTAAAACAGGGTGAGCCCCAGAGGTGTGGCCAAAATTAGAGCCAGGACCATAGATTGGCTAGCGGTCAGCATCACGACTAGTAGAAACGCCACCAAGAGAACAGGAAGGAAGAACGGAGAGGGGTTGAGGAGATATTGATGTAAGGATGCAGTGAGGAGGGTGGGAGAAAGGGAGGAACGGGTAAGCAAAAAGTAAGAGGAGAGAACTGAAGATGCGGAAGGCGGGAGAGAGTAGACAACAGGTGCTAGTGTGCTTGATGTAAGCGCAGGCAAATGTAGCTGCGTTTGCACCCAAGGGAGCGTGGAAACCAAAGACAGAAGCTTTGAAGGGAGCTGGCATGTGAGATATTCTACCAACCAATGCCATTTTACCACTATGTAATTTCTGGACGCATTAAAGCCATCCATGATTAATGCTGGCATACTGACAGCATACGCCTTGGCTTTCTCAGCAGCGTCGCAACATTTTGGAGTGATTATTTTATTTGAAAGTGCTGGAAGCAGTTTTGTCATAAGGTGTACTTTTTGGCACATCACCACCAGAAAACACAAAAGGTAGTAGAAGTACTTGACCCTTTGCTTTAGACAACACCAACAATGCCAATTTGCTTCAGTAGAAATCTCATCACAATGCTCTCCTGTTTCCAAAGACTCCAGATCGCACTGCATTTCTGAAGTGTAAGGTAAAAGAGCAGGGGAGGGGAAATGATCGAAATCACACATGGGAGAGAGGTTGGTGGGTAAGATCCATGTGTTGTCTGGGGAGCTAGAAGTATCTTCTATGTGGGCGTCATCCTCCGAAATGTCTGATAATGCACGTTCAAGCTCGGAAATAGTGTCCATGGATGGAGGGATGGAGGAGAGGGAAGATGAAGAGAAAGAAAGCGGAAACATAAACATGGACTGAAATGCAAAGTGACATAGCAGGCAGAAATAAACATGTGAAATGGTAGCATGCAAGAGAAAAATAAATCAAATGAGTGAAGGAGAAAGAGGAAAAGAGACACAGCATTAGTCACATAGGTTAAAAATGCAGTGAAGAGTACAGTACAGTGTGTGCCAAAACAACCTCAACAGGGAGCCACTGAGAGGGCTTCACATGGGGTCAAGTCCACAGTGCTAGGGGGTGAGGGGCAGGGAGCAGTGAGGGGAGAGCCGTGGAGGCATGCGGAACAAAGAACTCTCATAACACTGCTGTCTGTCTGCCGCTGTGAATACTAGCCCATATTGTTGGACACACGATTAGGTTAATATAGATAACCGGACAAAAATGAACGGGGAAAAAATTGACAAAAATTTTAAATAATCCCACGTTGGTAGACTGTATTGTATGTATACTGACTGCCTCTGTGCTAAACAATCTAAGCCTGTAGACATTCAGGCGAGAGATAAGACAAAACAATAACCCTCATTTGATGTACTGATACAAACCTTAGAGTCAGAATTAAGCTCCAGGTGAGGCTCACGACCGTTTTCTCCTGCACTTGTGTCAGTGATGCTTATCATGGGGGCTAAAAAGAAAAGGCAACAGACACGTGTTAGCAATTCCTGTATTTCATAATGTGTTTTTTTTTTTCCAGCCAGTTTATTGCTATTATGATTCCACCTGCATGTTTAGATAGCTTTATAAGAATACAGTAGAAAATAAAGCTCAGTTCATCAGGATTTTGTTGTGTTTAAGTCGTCAGTAGAGGGCAGTGCAACATAGTCTTTACATATTAGAAGCTACCATTAAAAGTTCATACCTGCAGGCTAAAATATCCATTAGATTCCTAGATGAAAATTACATGGTTGTACGACATACTTTGTTAAAACCCATGTGTGAAGATTTAAAAGGTCTAGTCTGTCTGTGTAATCTGCATGCTTCGACATGTTGCATTACTTTTAAAAAACATAGTTGCATTCTTTTCATCGTTGTCATTTCAGTCCCTCTCGCACTGTTCAAAAGGAAACATATGCTATGGCCATTTCCTGTATCTGTTGAGCCAGTGAGCAGTTTGTATCCAGACACATACACTTTTTTTACGGGCCAAATTCCATCTTGTAGTTTTCATTCATTCCAAGAGCTTTCTCCTTCTTACCTCCATCCAGACTGCGGCTGATGCGTTTCGACGAGGTGCGTTCAAAATTGGGTGCGGGTCGGTCTATGAGGGTACTGGCCACTCGGGTCTGAGCCTGGGTTCTGCCACTGTATCGGAACTTTGAGCCCAGGGTCAAGAAGCGCGTCTTGTTCGGAGGTTCTGGTGCATTTAACCTGGGTTAATGAGGTAGAGGTCATGATGTTGTCTTTGCCAGTGACGAGACACAACCCACAACATATGGACAAATATGGAATCGTACATGGTGGTTATGACAGGTAATGCTTTAGCAATCTACGGCTCCACGGAAGATTGGAACTTAGAAAATAAATGAAACGATTATTACAGATTGTCATCAGCGAAAATGGTGTCAAGCATTCTTTGTGAAAATAGATTTGGCATAGTGAACTCTATGTTAATTTCCAGTGCATATGACACCATTTTTTTTTATCTTATTCTACCAGAAAAAGATTCAGTTGGAAAATTATTAGAGTTTTACACTGATAAATCTGCTGGTTCTTAAGAACAATTTGGGCAGAACACTTCTTTTTTTTAATATATATATATATATATTATATATATTCTAAAATATGTCGTCTTTCCATTGGAGAAGTTTTTGCCTGTATTGGCGTGCAACATCCATGTGCCATCTGATGTCATAATTTACAACCAGGAAGTAACAAATGCATCAAAACTATGGCCAAACGCCTTAATAACAATCCTCTGAAAAGTAAAGTTTTACCTGTACATAAAATAAATTATGGGTGAGAATAATGAGGAAAATGTCACCCACATAAAAAACTGAATACATTATAGTAGCCTTTCTGCCTTGGTAATGACAGTATTTGGTATACAGTATTTCTATGACAACAGGGGCATGTGCAGAAATATTGAATCTCTTCCTCTGACAGGATATTGAAGCTTATTGCCATCCTTTTTCAACAAAGACAAAGTACACGGGTTATCTTTGTGTTCCTGGGCATTTTTTGGCCATACACAAAAACCTTATGAAACCCTTTGAGACAGTGCCTTCATAAAATGCATAACAAAAGTCTTATATTTATTCCAGATTAAGCAGAGGTGTACCTGAAGAAGCTGTGATTCTCCACACAGACTTTCCACAGTCTTTTGGCCGATCGATGGTTCTGCAGTTTGAAGCCCACCGTGCTCTCAAACTGCTCCGTCTGAAAATGAAAGCCACGCATTCAGCAAAAACAAAATGAAGTTGCGTAAATGTGACAACAGTGATGAGTGCGTACCTCCCCTGGTCTGATCTTGATGTAAAAGTTGTTTCTCTTGTAAGAAATCTTGAGGATTTTAGGCCATGCAAATCGGTTTATTCTCAGTTTGTCTTTGTAGACAAGGAGTCCATTGGCACAAACTCCTAACGTGATGTCGACACCCTCCGAGTCCTGTGACAGGAAAAAGTATGAACATTCAATCAGAGGCGTTCAAAAATCTTTCAGGGTTTGAGACGAGTTTAGGAGCAAACAAAATAAACAGAAATTAATGTGTGTTGAACTAAACCTAAAGAAAGAGTTGGTTAGGAGAAGAATTCACTAACAAAGCTTTTAAGTCCAAGTCCAACAGGGTTATTGATTACAGAAGTGACTAAACAGGAAAAATCTCTTGCACTAATGGAGGATACAATATGTTGATAATGGACAGTTTGACCGAGACAAGCATCACATGGCTCTGTCGTGCTATTAGCCGCTCATCGATTGGTGTGTTGCTGCACACAGACACGTTTCAGCACTTGGCCTATGATCACACACATGCACTGAGTGAGGCAACAGCAGATAATTTCCCTCGGCTTTCAGACATCTCCCTGAGTAAACAAAGAGCTGCTATTGCCAGGAGACAAACATTTTCTCTGTAGAGATAAAGCATGTGGTCCATTTCAAACGGAACGACTGCTTTCTTTTGAATCTCTTTCTTTGTAAATGAGCAGCAAGGACAGATATAGCGCTTCCTCTTGATTTCCCACATGTTTGGAATGCGGCTAAAATAGATGACCACTTTCCACTTCAATTTGGTAGTAACTGGAGCATGAATTTAAAACGGGACTGTGCATTAATGGCATACATGCACCCCTTACTTGTACAGTAAATTATCTAATTCATGGTGTGACGGTCCAGACACTGGAGAAGAAACACACCCACTCATGACCTGCGCTCAATCCCACCGAGGGAGGCAGCCCGTTCCCATGGCGATGGCCTCGGAGTGTTTGTACAGCTGCCACAGTCGCACACAGTCATGAACACACCAGCACTGGCCACATCAGAGACACCAGGCCTAATCCCACATGTCAACAGGAAGCTACAAATGAAGAGAAAAGACACTAGTCTTACCTTGGCATGGTGCATGTCCACGCCATACATTGACAACTTCTTGGCATTTTCTAGAAATTGTGCATCAGCCTGAGCAGGCGTCAGACCCCTTTAACAAGAAAAGCACAATGTCCAAATGTTTATTTTTTTAGGCTTCAGCATAAAAGTCCATCTGCCTCGGACTGGGGGAAAATAGTAACCATGCAATAAAAACTATACAATTTGGATTTTACATTTTGGCTGTAACCACTTTGGCTACAACCCCCCATCACCATTTTTCACATGCCTGTATTTTTGGCCTTTGTCACATCTTTAGATAAGCTTTGTCTGACAGAAAAAGGGAAAAAGAGCTACCAGTGACTCACAGGGCTTCTTACAAACATGTAAACGTATACATAACATATGACACGTCGAGAAAGCATGTACAACATGTTAATTTAGAACAAAAACGTTGTTGGGACAAATAGAATTAGTTATTTAAGAAGAAAAAAGTTAGGATCCTGCTAAAGTTGGGGTACTTATTTCATCTGACCTGTGGGATTTGTGGAGCTCCAGAATCTTCTCCTCCATGTCTTTGTTCTGACTAGGTGCAAACTTCAGCTGACTCATATAGTCTAGTGGCTTGGGTTGCTCTGTCTCGTAGTCTCCAAGCTCTGCCTGTAATTTACAGAACACAGTTTTGTCATAGGTTGTTTAGACAGTCACCCACATTCACCACCAAATGCTATACCTGCAGCGAATAAGACCCCAGCAGAGCATGCGTGACAAAGGAGCAGGGCAGTTTACCGGAGGCCACATCCTCACGCAGCTGAAGACACAACAGGTACCTGAGCAAGAGAAACGAGACATGGCCAATTTAGCTTCCACTCCCAAGACTAAACAAGCAAATGAAAACCTCTTTGTAAGCCGCTTTGAACGGCTCTAGTGTTCATGATAACAATGAAGTGGAGCCAAATTACCCAGTTTTCAAGCAGCTTTGCAGGATTAAAGGTCTTTGTGATGTATGCTTTATTGTAAGATTTATTTTTGCTTAACTTTCAGAGATATATATACACATGCATATTAAAACGTGTGGGGGTGTGTAAATGGCGTGCATGTGTGCGTTCCCCAAGTCGACTTGATCCTTAGTCATCCATTCAAAAGAGTGTTTGAATTGTGAATTGCAATATTGTTCTGAGGCAATACACTGTGCCATCATTGTATCTTCAGGCTTTCACACTGTGTGTGGGAGAGGATAAAAGCATAACACTAAAATATTAAATCCTCAAAATCCAAACAAAAGACTACATGGGGCTGAAGGAAAATCAGTATTATAAACTGTGAGTGCTGGTCATCTAAGGTAACCGTCTCCAAATGTGTGTGTGTGTTTGTGTTTCAGATTAAGGAGCTGTCCGCCCCATTAGACCTACATTCCACTCCTAAATGCTGTGTGCCTCCAGCTAACCACATGTGTGCATGCAAATGTATTAACCTCTGTGGACAAGAAGTGGTGTCACTAAAAAAATTTCATCTTCAGAAAGGCTCTGATCTGAAAGGTCATTACCAATCAATAGTAAAAACATGTAGCCGTTTTGCGCCAAGCTAATACAGGTGGAACATGAAATACATTATTGTTCAAAAGGTAAAGTGAGATATATCAAGCCTTTATTCATTATAATTTTGATAATTGACACGCCGTTTGTGAAAATCCCAATGAACCTGTAACTTATTCCATCCATCCATCCATTTTCTACCCTTTAATCCATTTCTGGGTCAGGGGGGTGGCAATCAGAGATGCCACCCAACCTGTAACTTATTGATTCATGAAATAGTTGTCAACTACTTGATTCATCAATATTTTTTTCAAACTTATATAGACTTAAAAATGTTGACTTCTATAATGAGTGTAGAATGTATTTGAAATGTGTTTACATGTTTCATCAAACAACACAACTCAGGTATCAATTGAGTTTTCCAGAGTTAATTGCAGCCACTACTGACAAAAAGTGTGCAAAAGCCCCTGAAAATGTATTTCCCCTTCCTTGTTTTGCGCCGTCATTACCTTGTGAGATCCTCTGTGAGCAATGAGGGATCGGGAGGGTAGAACTTCACATTGACTGAAAACTTCCAGTTGTTACCTGAAAAATACAATTCATAAACAATTTATAGAAATTAAGAGACAGCAGCATCACTGACAAACGCTTTTATCGGTTTGAAATACTCATGCTGCGAATGACAAAACTGAGCCGGGTGTGACATAGGGCAACTAATGCAGAACAGCTTTTAGATGCAGTAAGCCTGGCACCACACACTCAAACATAAGACATTACATAACAATTTTCCGAGCTTGCAAAAAAAAAAACACAGTAATCTTTATCATCCTTCATATCCATAAAAATAAACAGCAAACATGATGCAAAAGATATTTTAAGTTAACTGATGAGGGTTAACGTAACTTCCAATTCATTTCCTGCTTCAAAGGTTACCAATAGGCAAGGATTTATTCTTGTATTAAAGACTAAATATAATGTCTAAATGGAAACGGCAAAATGTAATAATTTGCAATTAATGAACGTTTGTTGCTCAATACACGTGCTTAATATATAAAAGTTGTACCAAAACATGTATTTATTTTATGGCTTTAAAAAAGTGAATCTCTTCTTAACATGATGACAGCACAAAAACAACAAAACAAGATTAGATCTTTTTCACTTATGTGAGCAGCTCAAATACAAAAAGGTCTCCATCGCTTTGTTGCATTTGTATAACTAGAGATTGCCAGTGTTCAGGGCTCAGAGTGTCCCCTGTGGCCACTTCCTGTTTCTAAAACAAACATCTATTCTCCCCATAGAGAACAGTAAATCCCCAACTTCAATGCTCATATTCTCTTCCTATGAAAGGCGTTCTGGTCTATTTGCTTTAGTGCATCACTAAATCAAAGTTATTCAACAAGCATAAAAAAATGGGCTCTTCTTATGTCGTATGACAACTATCATTTGAAATAAATTGCAAGCCAGGTTCTCAAAAGGTTAGCAAAGGTTAAAGACGACACGAGGGCTTGTGTAAAACATTAACCACCACACACGCTGGAAAGGTAGCTGGACTAAATCCAATCCTCTTGAGCCAAATTCCCGTCTCCTACAGAAGGATATAAAGCCAAGGATCAAGAGGCTGCAGTTACCGCATCAGGGAGTTTGTAAATGTGATGAACGAATTGGATTACATACAATTGTGGCTGCCAAACCTTTATGTGTTAGCAAATAATTTCTGTACATGAAAGGATAATATAATACTATCCATCTAGAACTCTTTAGGCACCAAAGTAGCAGAATTGCAGCACCTCCAGGACACTGGCTCTCCACAAAACGCTTCCCTACATTTTTCTTTTATTCATTTCTGGTAGACTTCAGAAGTCTTCCATTCCATATAGGGATGTAAATCGGCTCGAAATGGCTGTTATTTCAAAGAACGTGGACTATTTATTTATTTCAAACTACGCGGTTAACCGGTTTCAACCGGTTAATGAGGCTCGGTGGTCGGTCATGAAAATTCATAGTTTTTTACATCCCTAATTCCATATGTTCTAAACTTCACCTTGTGTCTGTTCCATGTAACATTTCTGAAAAACACAGGTATCTAAACTGTTTGTAAACTGTGCTATATTAATTGTTTCCAAAAGTCTGATTATAATTTTGTTCTAACTCACTAACAGTTAAAAAAAATAGCCAGCACAAGAACCAATGGCAAAAATATTATTTTATCATGTTCAGTATTCAACCATTTCCAGCATTGTATCGTTTCCAATACAATAAAAAAAGATACAAGTTTAGAATGTATTAGGTAGCTGTTGTGATTTCCAGGCCAAGTTCAAATAGACATAAAATCATACACAGTTTTAACAGCTCCAAGCATGTAGCCAGCCACTATCTCACAAGAAGGCAGACCAGCATGACGCTCCTTGTGTAAGCACATGGAGAAACGTATTCGTAGCCCGCGTGCACAGTCTTACATTCCACTGATCCTCCGACCACAGGCTCAGCCACAGACGGCCACAAAACACAGGCATGCACGTTTAAAACACCATCTGACACTTTGAAAACACTTGGAAAACACAGGCATGGGGAGCACACCAGACTTTCACTTGTTTCAAAATAACACTTTATGAGCTGGGCTGATGTGACTTGAATTTTCATGTTAGTGTATTTGACATTTTTTGACCAAAGCAACAAGGAAATGCAGAAATGACATATGATATAATAAGACGCCATGTTTTGCGTCTATTTAGCACATCAAGGGAAAAAACCATTGTGCCTGAGTAGGGATGTAAATCGGCGACCGTTTAACCGGTGGTTGACCGTCACAGCGTTAACCGGTCAAAGCTGTCGGTTAAAAAAGAGAAAAAGGGGAGAGGGGAGGTCTCTTAATAACGTGTGACGAGCGGGTCTGTATCTATTTGTGTGCGCCCATGTATTATAAACTCCGGGACGACTCTCACGCCGCACGAGCCACATATGCACACACGCACGCACGCGCGCACACACACACACACACACTTTTCCCCTCTCCATCCACACGCATCATCTCTCCCCTCTGTTACCGTCAAAGTTGCACACTGGCGCGGGTCAGAACTACATTGGAGCTTACATTTACACACACACACATATACATACACACACACATACACACATACATACACACACACATACACATACACACACACATACACACACACATACACATACACATACACACACACATACACACACACATACACACACACATACCGGTCTGTCGCGCTCCTCTGTGTCACGGAGCCCAAAGGATTCGCGCAAATACGCGGCTCCAGTCAAACCACATGGACCATGTTTGTGTTTATGGTCCTCGGGATCAGCTCCACACACATCACTTGTATTTAAACTTTAGCGGAGACCTGTGAGACGCGGCTCGTCACTCGCTGCTCTGACCATGTGAACGAGCCGTCGTTTGCTGCTAGAAAGTTTTGGTATTAACCCGCAGCACAGCAGAATGGGAAGATTAAAAAAGCAGTTCTCTGTGCACAAAGGTGCCGGAGCTGTTGCGGGTTTGGGCGCCGCTGTCTCAGCTCTGATCCAGTAGAACACAGAGCTGCACTTATGAAAAGTACACGGCTCGAAATGGCTGTTATTTCAAAGAACGTGGACTATTTTAAACCACGCGGTTAACCGGTTTCAACCGGTTAATGAGGCTCGGTGGTCGGTCATGAAAATTCATAGTTTTTTACATCCCTATGCCTGAGTAATAATATCTATGCATAATGTGAGATGGAAATTTCTCCATTGAAATATCAATAAAGTACATCTTATACTAACTTATTTGGTTGTGACTAACTGTAGGCTTAGGAATTGAGAGTAGGTTGCTGCTCAATTTAAAATAATGCCTTTATACTTCAGAAGAAAGCCACACACAAAAAACAATTGGTACCCTGAAATTAGAATAAAACTAGTTATTAATGACTGCTTCTCAGGTGATGTATGTTGCCAGTGAACAATGGGTGAGGTGTGGCAACTGGAGCCAAATTTCTTTTAACTATGCTTGATAAAAAAAGATTAATAAATAATGCAACACACTGATCACTATCTGGTAACCTTTGGCTCGCTGCCACCATTGGCACAACTGTTATCTGCTCGTGTCATGTATCCAACTCCATTTTGTCACGTTTTTAAACTTTGGAAACGTAATCCCAGATGAGTGAAATATGAGACTTACTGCGGATCTGTCGCTTGATTTCTTTAGTGGGGTCCAGCCAACACTGAAAGGACAAAAACAAAGAGATTGCACGATGTAAACAGCAACTATAGCATGTTGAAGTAAGAGTGGATAATATACCTTATGGTCATGGGTGTCTTTGTATGTGAGGCCGAAGTAATCTTTTTCCATCAGATTGAGGTGCTCGCAGACTTTGAAGAATAAGTACTGGCCTTTCACACGTTTCTACAAGAACAGATACCAAAACAACGAATGCATGAATACAGAATTTAAAACCATAGGCTCTCAGTGGCAGAATTGATAAAAGAGTTGAATCTTTTTCTGCATCAACCTGGCGTCTCACAAACAATTTCATACACTGCTTGTATATTTTTCTTATACGTTTGTTTCTGTTGTTTATTTTAGTGGTCCTCCATCCCTTCTTAAGTTGCAAAACTCCACTTTTCATTAAAGCATTTTTGACAGAACCCCAGCCTACTTTTCAATTCCATTAAAGTAGGTGCCCTGAAAATGTGTGCCTGTCTGCTCCTATAAAGAAAAGCATGTGCCATAAATCCAGATTTGGCAATTGCATTTTTTAGTTAGATTATCTTTTTTTTTTAAACAATTAAAAACGACAAGCAACAGCTTTGTATATTTGTCACCCTTCTTCACTTCCAAAGACAAAAAGAACCAGATGAAAGCCTCCTCTTCAAATTTTGACATTTAGCACACATTCATTTCTGGGAGGGACAAAAATTGAAAATATTCAGGAAACAATGCCCCACAGAGGAACAAAAGGTCAGACAGAAACGAGGGAATGAAAAAGAAAGAAGGAAAGGGTCACATATTTGTTCCTTTTTCTCAGACTGGACTGAAAGGTTTTGCTAAAAAGGATGAAAACATGCATTTTCTACTGTCTTGGCAAGTTGGAACACTGGAAATATCTCTGGTATTTTCCTATACTTTGTCAATTGCACTTTGGTCAGTCCAAGAATGTGACCCGTCTGTCATTGACTTTACATTAACACCATTTGACAGCACTGCCCAGCTTCTTCTTTAAACCACACATAAAGATATGAATGTATCAGCCAAATGTTAAATTATTTGCATTTGTGTAATATGAGGTTATGGCACTCATGGACTTCAGCTCAACCCCTAATTAGCGGTATTTTAGGCGAATACTACTCTAATGCTTAACCCCACTGTAACCAATACTAATGCAATTCTTCGAAAAAAGATTTAAGCCCATGTGACAAACCAAGTCGACCCTTTGAACACAGTGGTGATCTAAGGCAAACAGATTTTCAAATATAATCAGTTAAAAGAGCAGATGCACATCGACCAGTCAACAAAATAAACGTGTATGTGTGCGTGTTGAGCGCCTGGAAACAGAAAATGTAATCTCTGGAATGCATTGTGCATCTCTCCCTGACAACCCGGCTAGGCCAAAGCGACCGGCCGACTGCATGGATGTGTGCAAGTCCAGGACAATAGCACTGGGCTGCTGTATCAGCGTTATCTGTGGACAAAGCAGCTACTGTTCAAACTGCCACAGACACATGGGCACACACTGATGGGTGGTGGCATACTGTAGCTTCGGCTTTGTCACTGTCAGAGCAAGCTGGAAGTCATGTCCAGCCAGAAATTAACTTCCAATAAAATAAGGGCAATTTCATAGATACTTATACATTTGTAATTATAATTTTGGTACTTCAGTTATGATTAGAAATGTGTATTATCTTATGTATGCATCTTGTTTGAGTGATGCCTGTAATGTGCGATGCAACAATGGAATTCCCCTCTGTGGGAAAAATTAAGATTCCCATACACAAAATCAACGGCTCCAAAATGAGTGTACAATTCTTTACAATATACAGACCTATATGCTCCTATACTCCTTGTAGTGATCTCTTTTACACAAGCAAAATTCTAGAGCATATTTATTATTTTTTTTAAAGTTTGACACTTGATAATCTGCACTGCTAAATGTCTATTATGTGTAAGAACATATTAGAATCTTATTTTTTGTCTAACTTGTTTGCACCATATACCAAAGCAAATTGCTACAAAAAAAATCTGATTACAATACTAAAATTAAACGTTATTTTGATAAATCCCTTAAAATGTTATAAACTATTCTGCCAAAGAAACTTGCATCATCAGCCACAACAACCCAATTTTCTAACTCAGTATTTGTTTATGTAATGAGAAAAACAGGGGTCTGTAAATTCCAGCCGGTGTTACCTCAAACCTGTGACACCAGTGTGATGAAGGCCATGTGATTGGGGAGGTCCTGTTTGCATGCAAGGGGGGCTATAATGGGCCACGTGCTTGTTAGGCAGCAGCAGATGCAGGCTTCTAATCTGGTGGGTCCCTTGTAATCTGCCACGTTTGTGTGTGTGGTGGGCACCAGACAAGCCCCTGCAGGGTGCTCCGCTTTGATCGGCGTTTATCCCCCCTTTACCACGCCCAGACTCCACTGTATCCTGCCTGTGCTGCACTTCGGAGTCAGAATGTTTAATAGCTCTACTGCAAACAAAACACTTGGGTATTAACCATTACATCATTGGCAGAAGGCATTACGTATTGGCCACTTAACCTGCTACAGCGCACCAGACGGACGATACCACTTATCATTGAAAAGATATGCAGACGTTGTGCAGCATGATTGTAAATGATTGTTTACATTCAAAAACTCAAAGAAACGAGTTCCAAAGCGCAGAACCATGTTTACAGTCCCACATACGGATTATACTGACAACACTAAGTGGATTTTGATTTGTACCAAATCGACAGAGGGGATAAAACCTGTATATGCAATTCACATATTTGGTTAAAGCGACAAATAACCATTACTACTCTAATGGATGGTCTGTCACCCACTTCATTTAAATGGATTTACCAGCACCAGAGAAATAATGACCGTGAAGAATTGTGTTTAAAATTGCATAATGCCATTTGTAATGTAAAAGATGGATATTATCAATAATTTAATATTATATCCATATTAAATATTAAATCCTGTTTGTGTGAACAACGCAGGTTAACACAAATGGCATTTAAATAAAAGGTTTAGATTGTAGTCAGTTTCAATTTAAACCAGTGAGAAAGAGAGTTTTAAAGGAACTCTATGTAATTTTCTATCTCTATCCAGACAAGTAGTCACCACATCAAGAAAAACAAGCAAAGTAGTTAAAAAGTGGAAACATTTCAAAGACATGACAAATCCGTGGACAAGCAGGACCTGAATTGAACACTCACCAAGAACAGAGCAATATTCCCAATAATAAACTCAGAATCTACACTTTTTACTAAGGACAGACAACACTGCTTTGTATAGTTGAAATGTCGTACAATGATGTCATAATCAAACCACAACAAAATCTCAAGCACAGTTTTGGCTGCGTTACCTCCACTTCACAGGTGTAGTCGGTCCCATCCAGCAGGGTCACGTGACACACCACCAGCTTCATCTTGTTCTTGCGGACCAATCTGAGGGGGGACTGGAACAGCGAAGTCTGGGTGTCCTTCTCTTCTACAGGAGCCTCCGTCGTCTCCTTTGTCTCTTCCTCAGTCTTGTCTCCTTCTGCGACAGCCTTCGTCTCCTCCTCTGCACTCTTCTCTTCGCTCTTCTCTACTTTCTCTTCCTTCACGGGCTGCCGGGAAAAACCACAATGCAACAATTAAAACGTTGCACACTGCAGTCCCCTGGCGTAAACATGTAATCAAGTTTGTGACATAATAAAACTGTCCCAAGTACAGATTGCAGCAAGAAGGTCAGCTCTTTTTGTCTGAAGCTAAATCCAGCTCACTAAAATGAAATGTACTGCTTGCAACATTTTTGGAGGGGAGACTAAAGTGCTGATGTCAATGGGTGGGTCTGGTTGGTCCATAGAGTGATCACTGGACAGAAATGCGAGTGTCAGAGAGAATGACTCTTATGTTGTTGTGCAGAAAGTCTTTTGATTTTGTAAAGGCACTAAGGCATTTGATTTGCTTTAGCTGCATAACTTTGATGTGAGATGTGTTTTTTACCTCATTGTTAATTTGTTTTTTATGTGTTTCTTCACAAGTTATGCAAATAGCTGAAACTAGGGTCTGATCATTCTTTGAATTGAATTATTTAACATTCAGTATAACGTATAACGTGTCATTTTTTCATTTGTTTGTTACCACATGTTAGTTAAACGGTTACAGCAATCTACAATCCAGTTAAATCCACACTAGTCAAAAGTGTTGATTCAATACTTTTTACCCAAACCGCTTTTATTCAGGACAAATTAATTACCTCAAAAAAAAAAACAAATGTCCAATACCTCCGACTGTTCCTTGGCATCAACCTCTGGGAGCTCCTCCTTTTCCTTCACTTGCTCGGACTTCTCTGCGTCTTTCTTCTGCTCCTGCTCTTCCTCCACCTCCTCTGCGTGTCCGTTCACTTCAGGCACCTTCTCTGTCTCCTTGTCGACAGCCTCCTCTGATGGCGGGACGTCCTTAGTGGGTGAGGTCTACAAAAACACTGGGTTAAACTATAAAACTAGAGTCTTAAAATGCACGCACACAGCCTCTTTCACACACCTGGGTTTGGGACTTCTGCTTCTTGAGCCATGTCGGCAGGTAGCGGGAGATCCCTTTGCCCTCCTTCTCTCTCTTCTCTCCCTCTGCGGTGACCACTTCCTGAGTCTCCTCCGTCGCCTGCTCCGATTGGTCCGCAAGAGCTGCCGACTCCTCCGCTTTCTCCTTCACCTCAGTCTCAGTGCCTGCTTCTGTTGTCATGGCGACACCTGCACAATGACGACAGGGACCATTAGACTTTATGTAATACAGATGAGAGCGCTTTTGGTACAGAATATGGAGAAAAGTTCAAAATAGGAGTGACTATTAAACAAATGAAGAAAAAGAGGAAAGAAAATCACACCGAAACACTGACATAGCAACACACATGCATTATTAAAACGCACAACTTGAATTTTAGCCAGCAGCATTATTTATAAATGAGCCACACAGTCACTCTTTGCTTGAAAAATGGGTCAAAAAGAATGATCAGCTTATGCACTATTCATGCAACAAGAAAGTGTGGATTTGGATTACTATTTACAAGGTCAAATGTTATTATAGAGACAAACAAGAAATTGATCAATCATAGCCAACATTTTGCCATTATTAATTTACTTTTATTTGTGAAATTAATCAAGTCCAGCCAACTGGTCAAAAGAACAATCATACAACTCAACGTAAACGCATGTATTAGTCTACTGCTCAGCACTTTGCTTTGTTTAGGCAAATATATGATGACTTTTACAACACTGTCTAATTTGTCTAAATTTAGGTTTTTTCCTTTTGGTTAGAATTTACAAAAAGACACTGAATAAAATCACAATATAAGTCAGCATCTCTGACCTGGGAGAGCTGTCCAATTCCACAGTTAAGCATCCAGCCTATTAAGTGAGAGTTGTTGCATTCAGCGCAAATGACAATATTTGTAATAAATTAGTATTTTGATCTGACAGTGACATATTTTATATTGTATATTAGCTGTGAAACTGATTTGGTGGAATTCTTGCAACTTCCATCAAATCTGGACTTCACAACTGCTCTGGTATGACCTGACGTAATAGCCTTTCCATTAGCTTTCCTTCGACACACGTAAACAAAGACACATGACTTTGTGACTATTTCAAAAGGGGCTAGTAGGATTACATCATGACGCCCTAAACGCAGACACACACATTGCTGCACAAAGACACCGCTGGAGGAGGAGGGGGAAATCCAAATGACTCAATTCTTAGTATGCCAGTTTCTACCCTGCAGTTGTGGTCAAATGTGCACTCTTAAACCCAAAAATCTGTATCAGGGTGGTTCGCACATTTCGTAATGCTGTACAAAACCGTGAGGCTGATTCTCTGGTTATATTAGACAAGCGTGACATTACCCTCAAGGGCATGTTAGGGTCAGTAAGCAGAGGATGTGTGTTTACCTGCTCCAATTCCTGGACTGTGCAATGAAACTTGAATTAAGTAAAAGCTGGTAAAAGCACTTACTCAACTAAGGCAACACAATTAAGAAAAATCTGATCTTTTCAGCATGTAATATACTGTATTTGCCATTTCTGCTTGATTGTTTTCAAACTAAGTGCACACAGAGAAATCAAATTAGAGGAATAACTGAAAAGTGCACAGGTAGAGTATGTTTACGGTTTTAAACATAAACCTTTATGTTTAAAACCATGTCAGCACATCTTATTATAAAACAATATTTATCTTGACTTGAGATCATTTATACTTAACTCCCAATAGATTATTTTTGGTACTTTTCTAAACCTGTTTTGATGAGGGAAGCTTCATTCAGCAATAGCAAGGACATTTCAGTACCCCACTCCATACCTTCTCTTCTCATGTCAACCTCAACCAATACAACTTTTGGACAACTAAAGCACTTAAGATTAATAGAAGGAAATTGACATGCCACCAGGTCTCCTTTTCACGAATGTACAATACAAAAAGTGTGTCCTTTCATCCTCTCATTCCATTATTTAGCCTGTCATTTGTATTTTACTCTGGGTCTTTTGATTTTCGCCCCTTTCTGCACCGTCACCCTCAATAAAGTGGACACATGCACACACAATACCCAGCCTGAAGCACAATGTAGGTATGCGAGTAGGAAGAGGAGGGGGTCAGGTGTAAAAATAGATTCTTGCGTATTATGTGCTAATGAAGCCAGGGAAGAGAGGAGCGGTGGATGGCAGAGGTGGGGCTTGACTGATTACAAAAATGAGGGCAAAAAAACTTGTGGTATGGATTTAAATTACGTCAACAAATCTGATTGGCATGCTTTATAATTGCAGAGAAAGATAACATAAGAGCTGTCGTCACTATTAACAAGAAACTGTTAGGCAGCATTAACCTGGACTAGATAGATTGACGGATCAGTGGTTGGACCATCACTGTACAGTTGTTTCAGTGTTGGACAGCTGCATTCTGAGCAGCCAAAATAACAGAGGAACTCAGACGCAACAGAAACACCCACCTCCTCTCTGCACGCTGCAAAACAGAGCGCTTAAGGACTTAACTTTGCTACTATTAGACGGACCAGGAAAGACCTCTTTAGGGATCAATAAATCATATCCATCTAAAAATCTATTTCTAGTTCTTTCAATATTGTTTGCCGAAAGAGTTGGTATAAATCTTGTCCATCTAAGCACAATTTACGCAATTAGAATAGTCATGTAATAATACGTGCAAAAAACCTTTGTCACTCCTCAGTCTTTCAAGAACAACCTTTGGAGGTGACTTTTAAAATTTTTAGTTCAGTTCAGATGATGCAGTATGAATACCTGCTGCATGTTTGCAATCGATATCTACAGTACATAATCTCTTTTTGCCAACCCTTGTTCAAAGCACAGGCAACGGCCATTGTCTAATATCTCAACATATACCTGTACGTATTCAAATCTAAAACCAAAACCATGTTGGAGCTGCTCTTCAGTCTCACTCCAGAGACACCGAGCTTCCCTGTTCATGTGAGAGCTGGCACCAGACGAAAGCTGTTTACAACAAGTTTGTCACGGCTGCTTTTCCCCTCACTTTCTCTGCACCCCGGGGACCTTTCTGATGCTACCCCTCTCATCCTTCTCTCCATTTGGCCATAGTGCCTCTTTCTCTCCTCTCCAAACTCATGGTCCTCACTCTCTAAACTGCATTCTTCCAAGGCCGCTTTTTTTTTTTTTTCAAACGCCTCCAATTGCCCACCGAAATTATCAGTCCAAAGCCCCCTCCTACTTCTCTGCTCTTCCCACAGTCCGGGTGGACAATGACAGGCACGATATTACATGGAGAGACTTCAATCTTAAATTCAGTTTTAAGACTGAATAAACATTGGATTATACCAATCTGCTGTAGATATTAGAAGCCCAAATATCAAAACATTTCCATGCTGACTGAACACAACCAAAAGTATTTACAGTAAAATACATTCAAAACCATTTGTAAACATTCCCACATGTTTTATAGTTTAAAAAGGTTGGGGTTAGTCTCATTTCAAAGACTTACCCTAAATGACAGAGACAAACATAAGCTAGAAAAATGCCTTACCTACAGATGGTGCTTTCCTTTCAACTTCACTGTACTTGTTCTGACTTGCTCAAACCTCCAAAACACAACCTTCTCTGCCTGTCCTTCAGATCAACACCCTCTTCCCACCCTGAGCAGTAAATTTGCCCTACAAAATATCATTGTCATTTTTCCCTCCTCCTACTCCTCTGCCTGATCCTTGTCGTGCGACTGCTCTTCCACCCCACGGGACCAACGCTACGAGAAACCAGGACGCAGAAAGAGACACAACGGAAGAAGGGGGTGGAGAGAGCAAAGAGTGGAAAGGGCAAAAGATTGACTACGCAAAAGGAAATGCAAGGGAGGACGCTTAAAACATCTTAGTGATAGAGCAGCAGAGGCATTAGTGGCAATGTGTGTTAAAAGCAAAATATGATGGACTTTAAACCTCAAGTATCCAACTATCAAACTACAAAAAAAATGTTATAGTGTAAAACAAAATGTAACTAGTTCCATCACGAGTTTTCCCGAACACCTCTCCATTTCACAGAGGTAGAAAAAGGACCACCCTCACTCAACTATCACTTCTCTCCAAAAGTGTCAAATAATGACCTTTTTTACATGTATGTAGAATATGTTTTCTGATTAGGGATGCACCGATACCAGTGTTAGGTATTCGGTCGATACTAGGGGTGGGCGATTTTCCCAACTTCTGTTAACGACACTTTTCTAAAAAAATCAATCATTTTTGCACAAAATGATCAGCAATGTTTTGCTTCTATTGTTTTGGAATCTATAGATAGAGGCAGTGTAGCTCAAAATAGCAGCTTTTTATTTGTAAAGTACTTCACACATCTTTGCAAAACATACAAACATATATTAACATTAAAAATCCACTTCAAGTAACATGGAAAGAACACATCCAAAAAGGCTTGCTCAATATTTACTGAAATGTACAAATAAAGCAGTGATGGGCATCTTGCCTGCTCTAATTGTAATATGTTTTGGAGATATATATATTTATTTTGATGCAAAAGAAGCATATCTTAAAATTCACTTAATGCGATATTATAGTCTACAATATAAATCGCCCACCCCAGGCGATACCATAGTCTTGTACTCTTTATACCATGGGACCCAATCCGGGGAACTGATAACCACATTTTTAATTTACATTAGCAGACAGCTGTGCGGCATGTGTCGCCATGGTGATCTCCTAAAGTTTGCAGCAAAAAGGTGTTTGCTGCTAGCTTAGCGGCAAGCGGATGTCGGCTTTATAGCCGTATTTTAGTAACGAGTAAATGAGTGACAAAAGTAAAGCGGACTGTGAGTGAGTGAGAGTGAGTTTGTATAGAAAGTAACTTAAAAGTAATGTAGTAGTAGTGTAACGCATTACAATTCCATAATAAGTGATACATAATGTATTACGTTTTTGAAGTGACTTGACCAACACGGCCTACGGATGACATGTTTTGGTCTAGTTTGTTGTGGTGTGTTAAACTATGTTGGAACAAACAGTTTGCTAACATCATCAAACAGTCGTTAATGACTAGACTGGTTTTAAATCACTCGCTGTCTCGCTCTTCCTCTTCAGTCACCTTTTTTGTTTTGGACTTGGTATTTTCATGAAGAAAAGTTAACTCATCTACGTGTGCAGGATGGAGACTGGCGCGCTGTCTTGTAATTGTGTTTCCAGCTAGAGAAAAAATTCTCTCGCTGGGGGTACTGGTTGCTGGCATGGCCAGATATGTCTTTGAGAGCCTTGCCAAGCGCGGGAAGCGCCTTTCGTTTCGGGCCCACCACTGCAACGGGTTGTCCAGAGTTGGGATTTGGGGCAAGAGAAAATATTGTCTGGCCTCTTCAGTTGCTGTGGAGCCGCGGGCCGTATTCTGCCCGCTTTCGAAATGCGTCCCAAACAGCTCCGCAAAGTCCAGCTCAAGACGCGCCTTCTTCCCTATGTCCTTCCCCGTCTGCTCAGTTTCACAGGTTTCCACACCGACATCTAACAAACACGTAGAACATTAGCGACACAATCCACACAATATTGTCCCCTTGTTAAATGTATAGTAATATACCATGCGTAAATGTCTCAGCGCTTACACCGCGCGCATTTTACGCACTTAATAGAAGCAAAAATTGAAGCAGATTTAATTATTTTTGTTGGACATAATGCGTTGTCTGTAATCTATGCGTTTGTCAGATAGCAGTATTGTTGAATGAGCAATATATCTTTGCTTTTTAAATGAATAGAGACACACGCACTTGTTACGCTCAGCGTCTCACTCACTCTCAGAAGCAGGGTGTCCAGGTGGCTGTATGCGCGCTCTCTTTTGCTGTCTGGGATGAACTTCAGGTGCTTGAAGCAAGGATCTAACATGCAGGCCACAACTGGGATAGACGAGGGCAGATCATCAGAGTCCAGTTTGAATCGTGTTTCCAGCTGTTGTCGGACTGTGTTCTTAAATGCGCGCACCGCAGACAGATCAGAGCCCTCAACGCGCAGCGTGGTGTTGACCATGTTCAGGATCACGGGGTAAATAAAGGAAAGTCCTACGTGCAGTTCACCGCACAATATCTCGGTGGCTTTGGCCAAAGGCTGCAGGACTGGAACAAGTTGTTCAAGAAGTTCCCACTGCGAAGCTCTCATTGCCAGTTTCTTTTGGACTGCTGGTTTTGTAACTGCGTCATCCGAAAGTACAGACTGCACTGCGATCCTTTGCTCAAAAAGCCGCTGGAGCATTGTAAAGGTAGAATTCCAGCAGACAGGACAATCAGTCTGGAGTTTATTTGTTTTCATGCCGAGTTGTTCCTGACGCGTTTTGAGAGAACACGTAGCAAGGGCGGAGTGGCGAAAGTGGCTGACAACTCTCCTCGCTGCATCGACCGCCTTTGCCACATCAGGTAAGACCAAACCGGACTTTATAGCTAACTGTAGAGTGTGTCCGCTGCATCCCAAATCTTTTAGACACATTTGGCAGAGCTCCAGTGCTAAATTCATGTTACTGGCATTGTCATGAACGGTGCAAAACGCGCTTATCCCCCAATTTTCAATAATTTCACTTAAGCGACAAGCAATGTTAATGGCAGTGTGTCTCTCAGTCATCAATGTTGTACACAAGACCCTGGCTTTTAGTTCCCATGTGTTGGTAATATAATGTGCCGTTACTGTAATATACGGCTCCATATTTGGTGAAGTCCATAGATCTGTCGTTAGAGACACGCTTTTTCCTCTCATCTCATTTGCCATTTCTTCGTGAACACCGTTGTACTCGTGTTTTATAGTATTCCATATTGTGCGGTAAGAGGGGATAACGTAATGCGGTTCAAAAAAGTTGACTAGTTCTCGGAAGCCTTCACCATGCACTGCGCTGAGTGGCCTGATGTCTTTAACAATGAAATTCACAAGCAGCTTGGTGATTTGTTGTCTTCGTTTGTCTGGCAGCACAGTCCGTTTAGTGAAGCTGCTGATTGACTGTTGTTGAGAAGGTTGCTTCTGGGCTAGCATTAGCGTCGGATGCTTTTTCAGATGAGAGTGCAGCGCGCTTGTACTTTTGTTGTACTTTAGAGTACCTTTGCATAAGCTACACGTCACCTGTGTACCGGTTTCATCTTTAGTAAAATATGTCCAAACGCTTGATGTAGTGCTGCCTTGGCGTGATGATTGGTGAGAGGTACTAGGACCCTTGTTTGGCATGTCGCTGTCCTGCGCCGCCATGTTGTGCCAAAGTCACGTGCAGTACTGCGCCGCCGACTAGTCGATGTCACATGAACAAAGTCGCGAGACAACCGTAAAGTCGACTAGTCTGTTCAACCCCTAGCACACAGAGCACCAGCCCCTCACTGATCCTGCAGGTGGTGAGTCCACAGGAGCAGTTTGCTAACATACAGTACATAATGTAAATTATAAAAGAAAGATCCAAATCTACATGCGGCAGAATTACATTACGATTCCACCTTTCTGATTACATTGGTTAATATTTCCAGAAAGGTTTATACCTCAAACTTACATGTTTCTTCGTAACATATAAAAGATAATCCAAATGAGACATTTGCAGACTTGCTTAGGCCAAATTCTTAGATAAGTCATCATATAGTACTCGTAGATCTCATCCTAGTAACTAAGTAACTAGAGCTGAAAGATATGGTCATAAAATCCTATCTCTTCTCAATCAGCCCTTGTAACAACCACCCCTTAGAGGTGGCTTGAGCAGAACAAATACATGTATATACGCCTCTGAGACATGTTCTTTAGCTACAGCCAGTAAAAAGCCAAAACACCATGATGCAATGACGCAAGTAGGCCGCCCATGTTTTTGAGCTCAAGCATGAGGGGGGGCGCAAAGCAGGAAGTACTTTTTCATGGTTGAATCTGCATCAATAAATCCCCATGGAGACAAGAGATTACCGCAGCAAAAATACAGATTAGTACTCTAGCGTAGAAGTGACAATGGAGATTATTATTGTGGATAAGAGGTATTCAAAGTGACTACAGCTGCTATTACATGGAGGGGTTACAGTCATGACAGCCACTTTTCATTGTTGCACAAAGAGAACAGAAATCCCATCAAGAAAGGCAATGGACTCAGGCCCCCTTTCTACAAGCAACAGGGTATTGTAGTAGTTTTAGTCAAATAGCTCACATTAAAAAAAACATCTTGAAGATTGCTGGATCAAATAGAACATTTACAAAATAGGTGTTTGAAAGCTGCCAAACAGGTCAATGCTAAGCCAGTAATTGAAGACATTTACTTTTTTTCTATCAAAAAAAAAAAATGTCTCAACATTTAAGAGACATTTTGAGACTACTTTTTAGTACATTTACAATTGCTTACACATGATTAAGAATATCTGAGAGTAAAATATTTTTAACACTTGTAAATTTCTCCCGTTGTGAGATCAATAACGTCTATCTTATCTTATGCTTGCAGTGGGACTGGGACATCCTTTTCCCTGAGGTTGCCGCTCAGATGCAGCAAGGCGGGGCCTTCTAAAAGTTGTGTTGTCCAACAGTAGGGAATGGGATACACAGATACCGCTTTTTTCAAAACCTATACGAGTACCTTGATTTGATTTGAATACTTTATATTGAGCTATAAAAAATTCGTACAAAAACATTCTGCGCCATTTAGAAAGCACTGTACCCACTTAAATGAGCAACAAATGCAGAATTATATGGGGGGTTCAATACGAGTTTGTGCTCCCACACTCTTTCCTCACATTACTTTACTTAGCTTAGTTCCTGGTGTCTGTACCCGAATTGAAGTACTCACTGATATCGAAAACCAATACTGTATTTGATATAAGCGAATGCAGTATTACTGCATCGTGTTATCCCTGGGAATTCATTAAACTAACACAACTGAAATAAAAATAAAATAAAATAGTTAAAACATTTTAACAATCAAACATTTTAGAAATTGTTTTAAAAGTCAACAATAAGAGCCACTATTTTATTCCACTCGTACAAATGGTACAAAGAAATAGCTGCCATTTCAATGCACTGAGAGATCTATAGAGCTCTTATGTCACACACAGTTTAAACTTAATAATATAAAAGCAAAATTACTAGTAAATCTTTGAAAACATAACAGTAAATATGAGTAAATGCACTTCAGCAGTGACCAATCAACATTAGATTAACTTTGAACCTGAGTAACTAGTGTAATATTTACGCTTGACATCTTCAAAAACAAACTTTGGAGAAGCAAGAAGAGTTCGTTGTTTTGTGCTCCGGAGCTAGCAAAGGTGTTATACTCCGAGTGGAGGTGAGTTCAGATGTTTGATGAAGTTACTGTCGTTTAAAGTGTTTGTTTTGGATCCAACTCGTGATAGTTTTGCCTTACACAATGTACAGTCCGATTTATTCTAGTTACTCCTGTCTGCTAGCGGCAAGGGCTTTCTCACTGCAGACTTTCTGAGATCACCATGGCAACATGTGCCACACAGCTGTCTGCCATCATGATGCTAATGTAAATTAAAAATGTGGGTATCGGTTAGCGGCTTTGGGTCCTATGGATATGAGTGAGAATACAAGTACAAGCCTATAGTATAGACCCAATACCAGTATTGGCATCAGTGTATGATCTGTCCATCTGTCACGCAACTCACTCATTAAAAATAGACAGGACCGGTATGCAGAGCTACTTGGATGAGGTAGACAAAGAAAGTCATAAAATCCTTGGTTGTCATAGTTGTTAAGTCAAGTGCAGCAATGATGGTGTAGAAATGGTGAATCTGAATGTCCCCGCACTATGACCCGCATAACAGCGGATTAGACACAGGATAATCCTCTGTATGTTTTTGTGTCCGCCTGTCCGCCATCCATTGGTGTATCTCAGTCCATCTCGTCCAACAATGTCTTCTACATAACTGCACCCTTGCGTATTCTTCACTGGTGTCCGAATAAAATACAAGCAGTTTCCCAAGGGATGTTTAACTGACGGTGCCATGTCATTACCATTGTAAGCATGTAATTACGAGCAGCATACTGCTAAATCTAATCACTACCTCATCTTGTTTTACACCTTTTTCAGGGGTCAACTTTCATGGGTTTTCTACAACTGTTCCGATACAGAAGATGGCTCGTAACTGGTTTGTTCAGTGGCTTAACCACCCCACTTATCTAATGAAAGCATGTTTGTGTGGTTGGGATTGAAAGGCATTTGGTTAAAGAGTGGACAGTGGGTGTGGTGTTACTATGGAAGCCAACATCTCACGAAAAGCGGTGACAACAGGTGCCTAAGCAAAACAAATGAGCAACAATGCAACTATAACAATCTATAGAAACAATCTATAGAAATAATAGATTTGATTACGCCTTTTAAATACGTCAACACGATAATGAGAAGATTTAATTAGACACTTTTAAAGCAACTGTGGTTTTGTAGGAGAAAGTAAACGAACAATTATATTCGCTTATGCAAATGATAGTGGGGGTAGGGAGCTATTCATATTAGAACTGTGATGACTGATGTCTGTGTGTAGTAGTTAAACTAGTTTAAAATATAGTTGTATTTTACTTATGTGATGCATTCAGAATTACAATACAAGGTGTAGAATACAATATAAGGTGACAGCAGTAAAAGTAAAATGACATTATAAAGGGCAGTAAATTCAGTCAATTCAACTCGACAGAAAGCAGCGAGTAGCGACATACTACAGAACTGTCCAACAAGGACAACCCAGCAGCAATTCCTCTAAATTTAGATAATCCCATGTGACCATTGAAGATGTCCCAATTTTAGAAGCATTTCTTGAGGGGGAGTGATACAGTTTATACAAAGAGCAAGAGCACTGCACTGTTAACATCCATAAATCCAGATGTAGACTAGACAGCAGTTTATGGTCAATGACGGAGCCAAACTCCTTATACAGACGCATATATCGGAAAATCCCAGGCCTGCAACTTTTTGAACTCTAACAGGAAGCAGGAAGTATGCAGAAGGACAGTGGACAGAACCCAAAACTAAAGTGTCTCCCAACTCCCCTTTACCAGACATGTTTGAGATCTGCATCAAACAAAAACAGGAAGTGACAAGTAAACGGTTTTCTTTTTTTTGATAAATAAAATAAAGTGTAAATGGATACGTCTCAAAAGGTTTTACCACACCCTTGAATTCTCTATTGACCCATGTGTAACATAATCAGTTTCTCAGTCTTACCCAGGCTCCTTCTATGCGACCAATTGTTTGTCGCCAGCAGCAATTACAAATTTGGAATACTTGGGGGTCTTGAAAAATCGGCCGATACTGTAATTCCAGCAAGAAACAAACACCCTGGATAACTAACCTTGACGTCAATAGGCTTTGGCTTTGCTTCTTTAAACTGCTTTCCCCTCCAACTAACAAATAATGGTTCCTGCACAAAAAATTTTTTTAGGGAAAATGTAACGTTTCGAGGCAAGTCTAGCTGGTGTTTTTATTATGGAAGCTATGTTTAGCATGTTTTTGCATCTTTGATTTTATGTATTATAAAATAAATTGTGACTTATGGGTATGGATAATCTTTTTGGCACATTTTTATGAACCACAAAAAAGAGGGCAGTTGTGTTTAAATAGAAAGTGAACTGGAACAAAAGGTAAAGATGGCTGTATACTGTGGGCCGACTTAAATGTTTTGTTGATTTTGAATAAATTAAACATTTTAGGTTCATTGTTAAGAGTAAAAATAAATATTAGAACATTTTCTTTAAAATGGAGGTATAGACATGCTACGGTAGCATCAGAGAAGAAAGCTTAAAATATCAGCTTGATATATAAATCAATCTCTGCTAAGAACCATGTTGAAATTGACCATTGCAGGCATTTGATCATCAATTGGCAATGTGAGAAATGCATTAAATAAAAATATATTTGTCATCCAGGGCATAAAGAGTATGTTATAAAAACAGACTGAAGCCACCAAACATGTGTCCATTCATAGTGGGACCCTCCACCCATTGATGTCCAGCCTCAATGTGAGAATGTGACCCTCTGCTGATTAATCTGTTTTTAACCATGTCTGGACCAGCGCCATAACCACAGGCTCACACTCTCATACTTTATTCCTTTTTGTATCAATTCTTTGAAACCAGAAAGAGGCAATTGCCCTCCTGGAACTACAACAAGAATGTTTTCTTTGTTGTCCCTTTTTGTTCAGACAAAATAAAAACGCACCCACGACTCACTCCCAACAACTTTCTCTTCACATTTCCTCAATGTGGCTTCAGTCCGCTTTCACTTATTTCCCCACCCTCCTGGATTTGAACTCTTTGTTGGGGTAATAAGCTGAACAGTGCAATATAGTTCCCATTCATCCATGACGCTCTGATGTCCTGCTCTTGAATTAAAGTCCTGCAATAGCTGCTGACTGAGGAGAGCTGTGCACATGTGGTAATTACTCAATGTCATGGTTGAGGGTTTGCTCTATAGAATATGTCTACCTATACCTAAGTATTGGGACTGCACAGTGCATAATAATAATAATAATAATAATAATGTGATGTGAATGCATTATTTTTTTAATGGCTAAAGTAAAAACTAATAGTAGCCCCAAGAAAAGGCAAGCTTGTTTTACTCAACATTATTTTATGGAAGATCTCCAAAGCAATTTCAGAATCATGGAACACGTCATTCTGATGCAGTACCCCTGTTGAAACCACCATCACAGTAAAACCCAAACACACATAGGGACGTTCCCATAGCCTTTCCGAATGGTTAAGCAATCACTCTCTCCCATTCTGTGCTCTCACCTAGTCCCTCATCCACGCGATTCACACGTGGTTAGTCGAGTTTTTGGCTTGAAGTTGCAGATTGGTGGAAGAACATTTCAACTTCATGACCTTCCTCCGTCTTTTTAAATATGTATTCCTCGTATAACTCAAAACTATCCAAATGTGTATGCATTCTATTTTGAATACATGTGTCTGTTTCCCAGCCAACTTTAATGAGCAGATTCTCCCACAAAAGTTCAACCAATTAGAGCCTTCTTCTAATTAGTGAGCAAGACACAGATGCTACTGTTCCTCACTTCCTGGGGTACAGAGGAGAGCAAAGACATGGCACAAAAAGATGGAGGATTACAAGTCTGAATTACAGAAAGAATTAACGCACCATTGTCATTATGCATAACGAGTCATGACATATGAACGTGCCCCAGCCCAATTGCCAGTCACACGGCACCTAAAGCCTGGATCTAATCGCGATCTGGGCCTAGGCCTGCTTTAACTAGGCTTTAGGTTGTGCTTGTGACTGCAGTCTAAGAGGATTTCCACAGTTATAAAATACTTCTGTCCGTATGTTCTTCTCAGCCATATAGGAGGCCGAATATTAGGTCTTGTCTGAGAACAAATAAAAAAGGGAAAATAAAACTGCAGCAATGCTAACACAATCTAAAGAATGTGCCAATGTAGACCGTTGCCATAGTCACCAATTCAAAACAAAATATTGCAACCAATGTATATAACTTTATATTGCATTGTTGTTTTTGTAAACATAGCAACGGAATGCATCTACCTTGAATTCAGTTATCATGGCTATAGCATCATGAAAATAAAAAAACAACATAGTATGAAGCAGCAGAGCTTTAACCGTGACAAAAAAACTACACGACACAAAACAGTTTGAGACTCAAGAAAATGACCGACAAGAAATATAAACTGGCAGCTGCCGTTTATGATCCAGGACACAAGGAGAACCTGTTGGTGCTGAGACAACATGTTCAAGAGCAGCTTCACATCAATGCAAAACAGAAGTGGAGACTAAAGGAGATGGAGGAAGAGAAGCTTCACAAACAAGGCATTCTGGATGAAAAGAATAAGTTAATTCAGGATATGGAAGAGCAAATTAAGACACTTGAAATTAACAGGGTAGAGATTTCTGAAAAACTGGAGAATGCTAATTGCAAGATTAAGATGCAGATCATCACATTGATGAACATGAAAGAGGAGTTAGAAAAGAGTAAGAAGGAGAAGAACACAATGAAGATTCAGATTAAAAAGGCAACTGAGATGCAAAAGACAGAGCAGAAGAAAAAAAAGACCCTGAAGAGGCTGATACTCACCCTGAGGCGTGCCCTTGATAAACAGACACATACAGCAAAAGAGGTTGAACACATGGCACTGATGCTCCAGAAACACCAAAAAGACTTTGATAAATTGATAAAGAGCACAATAAGGCAGATTGACTTCAACCGTAGCAAGGAGACAAAATCTGCCTGCCTTGCATGTGAAGTGAAGCCTTCATCACCAAAGGAGTTAGATGATCAGCAAAACGATGAAGCTTGTACAGTGGAAGTAAGCAGCTCTATCTATAGGCTGGAGGAGAACTCAGAGCAGGAGACTGAAACTGAGGTGATGGACTGCACCTTCAACCACAGCATGGAGGTGACAAATCAGGGCCTTGCAACATGTGACGCACTAGAGAAGTCCTCATCACTAAAGAAGTAGAAGTAGTCTGGAGGAGAGCAAAGAGCAGGAGAACATTAGCATTAGCAGGACCCAGGTCTCAAAAGAATAATGAATGCAATCAAAGTTAAAGTTGAAATTTATTTATGAGAAATAAATTAATCCAATTTCAGATTAGATAGACGAAAAGTAATGTAGAGTCCAAACTGTGTTATCAAGGTATAAGCCAGGTATTTGAGTACCCAAGTCAATCAATATAATTTCCTTTAAAGAAACAGGGTGACCTTTGCTCAGCTGCATTCAATGTCTGACCTACTTTTTCATAGTCCATCCATACTCACAGAAAGGGGTTGACAGATGTATATTGAAGCCCTGAAGTTAGCAGCGAGTTCCTCTGAGCCGTAACTCACCGTACGAGGGAAATGCATCCACCTACCTCCACATTGGGCGCTTTTCGTTTAAAACAAACTTTAGCATCGAGATAAGTCTAAATATATGCAAGCGTTGTGGATATTCTAACAACGTGGGGAAGCAGCGCAATATTAAGCCACAGCAGCGTAGGTGACGGAATAACATGAGGAATGGATAACTTGACGAGACGAAGATCCGACCTCTTATCATAACCCCTACAAAAGGACAAACCACTCAGACTTTTATGCAAGCTTTACACAGTGAAATAGTACATCTATGGCACCTTTCCGAAACAAGCATGCAAAACACGACCTAAAAAGCGACGATTCAGCCTCATCACTCACCCACAAATCACGTGATAGTAAAAGAGGGGAATAAAACGTTACCTTGCACAATATATCCCACGGGTTGTAAGTGTTTTTTTCCCCGAAAGTGGCTTCACACGCCTCCCCGACCAAATATCTCTGGTCCCACAGCCTCAGCCTCCGAAAAGCTCTACTACAGTCACGCACAGTCCACACACGGCGAAAATCTGGCCCGAGCTCAATCCGACGTGTCTATCATACACATGTCCCGCCCACCACAGTGAAAAGCGGCCTCGCATTGGTTGACCCAGGTTACTGTGTTGAATACGGCACTCTGATTGGTTTATTTGATTGTCCGTTTGCTTCAATGGGCGGTACTAAACGATTTTGGCGGGTAGTAATGGGACACCGTCATCTATAGGTAAAAGTCCGGTACTGCGTGTTTACCACAGTATTTAGCAGTTTCTCCTCTGTATTATTTTAAAAGTCGGAACCATAAAAAACGAGAAATAGACACAATAGAAGACGTGTAAATAAATGACAGGAAAATGCAAAGTAGTTTAGTTTTCGAAGACCTCTTGTGTATTATAGTAATTTGCATTCTCCACATCAACATAGAATCACAGTGCATTTAAATACGCCTACGCTCAAACACAGCTGTACCCTATAAATTGTATAGTGGATATCAACATAGGTTTTTTTCTTTTCTTTTCTTTCACACACATAATTCTTATATACTGTCTTGACTCTGCCCACAAACAGATTACAGAAGCTCAGGTAATTGGCTTACAGTGTATCACAGTGTGTGCTTGACATCCAACAGCAATCAAAATGCTGAATAAAAGGGATCTAAAAGGTAATGCAAGACTGTATAACATTCAATAAAACTGAAGTGAGCTACATGTTTAGTTGTTTATGGTGATGGTTGACAAAAGCAACAATAACAACAACTTGGGTTTAGTTGACTCACCATTGGCAGTTCCCATGTCCATGAAAAGCAGCATGTTGAAGAAACACAAGACTCTTTGTTAGGTGTTATAACGTTTCACATTGACCATTCAAACCATGTTATTTTGTATTACTTTAAATTAATTGATAGTTGTGGTGATTCATTGAAATAATTGTGTCACAATAGGTTACTACAACAGTATAAAACAAGCAAATGACAAAAATAGTAAACACTAGTAACAATAGTTAGATTTACTCTCAAATGCTATGGTGTGTGACTTCTTATCACCTCGAATGCTCCTCTTTCTGGCCTAATGGAGCTTGAATAAAATTTCAACCTGATGACTACTCAGTGACCTGCTTTAACCTCAGATCTGAATTTGCAATGTGGAGCTCTACTACAGTTTTACATGCAGCCAATATTATGGCAAACGTTAAAATAATAAACCTGATAATAACTAAACATGACTTGACCAGACCTCACCAAAAATGTCATAACATGACACAGTCTAAAACCAAAGTTATCAGAAGTAAACAAGAGGTTGTAAAAACATACAATACCTTGAAAAACAAGACATATGCCAAGGCTCAAATCCTGTGTTCAAATTAACCAAGCAAGCACCAGAAGATCACATCTCACTGAACCACTGGATTCTTCTGTCTCTTTTGACACTTAACCTCCTATAGCTTAAAACAACTGTCAAAACATATGTGTGTGGAGGGGTCTGTAAATGGCTAGTAATTGATTTGCTGACCTGAGTGACGGCAGCGTTCGAGCAGCACAAACAGATGCAGTGGTGAGCTCTAGTTCCGTGTTAACATGGAAGTGAACTACTCTAAGTTTGAGATCAAGCAAGTGCAGATTCTCTGTGGATTAGTGAGCCGCTCCTCTGGGGGAATTACCCAGGGCCATCTGGACAGCACTGCCCACTCCAGGAACCTCTCCTCTTATGAAACTTAGGTCTTTCAAGTCAGGAGGTCACAAGCTCTAATGATGAACTGAATGTATTTTTAGTGCCTGTTTCTTTTAAGGTGCCATGGTAATTTTATTCATCTTGATCAGACTTTAAATTGTACATATGAAAATGAAAAATTTCCTCAAGTCTCATCGCATTTAGAATATTTTGGATTTGTTAAATTTTGAGCACCCTGTGACTCCAACACAATAATAAAATTGTCATTGCTACAGTATATTCAACAATATGAACAATAACAAGATAAAGAGATCCTTTATTTGTCCCACAGTGGGGAAAAGTGGAGAATGGGGAATAGAACAATTCAGAGCATACAGTGCACATGTATTATACAGAGCATAACAATTTGTACTTTACCCCAAAGTTGCTCTTTAGGTCGAACAAGCTGTTTTGTGAGTCCAGCAAATGCAAAGACCCTGAACAAATAATGGTATCTCCATTGGTTTGTTTAATGCCATGCTGTAGCTCTGTGCTCCTTCCTCCAGCTGTGAGTGGGTGCTGTAACTTAACACTTTTGGATCAGGTATCACACACAGGTGAACAGGAAGAGGGGTGAAAAAACCAAAAGGCTGGGTAATTGAATGTTCCAGAGACAATCTTTGGAGGCTTGTTTCAAGAAGGCCCAGGGGCACAGTCTGTCAATATTTGCTCCAAACCCAGTTCTAATATATACGTACACCATTACCATAAAGTTGAAGGTACATGGGTCACTCAAAAGAGATAAGAACCCCCAGTAATGCTCCAGTTTTAGGCTCCTCTATTTTAAACAGAGATCTGAACATCTTTGCCAAAGTATTAGCCCAGGGACTCTTGCCTTTTATGATCAAAAAAGACAAAAGTAGGGAGAACAAACAAAGGGAGAAACGGTGTCCAAACATAACACCATGTTGCACTGGTCCTGGTGGAAGTTTGTTATAGTGCTTCTTTTGGACTTTTTCATGGTCACAGGCTTTGAGATCGCGGATTCAGTCGGTCGAAATGAGCTTCCTCTGAAGAGTGGCTGGGCTCTCCCTCAGAGATAGAGTGAAGAGCTCAATCACACGGGAGGAGCTCAGACTAGAGCTCTCCAGCATACTGTAAGAAAATAGTTTTTGACTTACTGTAACTAGGATTATTAAGCACAGAGGAACAGGACAGGAGAAGGTGAGTGACTGAAGCTGTGGTCTGCAGCTATGGGTGGGGGGTGTTGTTCACAGGCAGGAGCCACAATCACACTAAACTTAGAAAACTTAAACTTAGAAACATGAGTAAAATGAGCTTTTACAATAGCTTTGTTTCTGAATCTTGAGAAAATGTATTTTCTGTGTCTTGTAAAATAAAATAAACTATCACTAGAACCACTGTTGGTAGCACATAAACCTCTTGATAACTGTTGAAAATGTGTTCAAGTACCCCCTTGTGTAACCTCTGGGGTCCATGAAACCCTGGTTGGAGAACACTGATTTATACTGATTATAATTGAAAATACATTTACAGATATTTACTTACTTGTGCAGTTTGACACATTTAAGGAAAGACAGAAAATATAAGGAAGACAGACAATCTATATTAAAAAAAAAAAATAGATTTCAGATTTATGCAACTAAAATTTGGAAAAATCTTCCTGAAAATGTGAGGCAGGCGTCTACTCTGGCAGTTTTCAAATCCAGGTTCTGTTTAGCTGTGCATGAAGGATTATATCTCACCTGAAGGATTTCATTTTTTGTGTGTGATTTTAATGTTTTAAGGTTTTTTAATAATTGATTTTGTTCTCTATGTTTTTAATATTTATTGTGATTGTAATGTTTAGGAATGGCGCTCTACAAATAAAAGTGGATTGATTGAAATAATTTGTCTCTAGCTATTATAAGGACGGGTCCTTGATGTTGATGCCATGCACTAATGCTCCACCAGGGGGAAGCGTTGCATTGTTGTGGTCACGCTGATGGACAAAACTCAATCATGACACGAATTCATAATTTGACATACACGTTAACAATTTTTGTATTTTTTATTTTTTTTTTATCTCAGCAACAGTACGTTTTTCCCCTTACAGAACACACCTTCAAGACAAATACTATTTTGATCCATTTCATCTAATATGTAAACAACTGCTCAACACAGAATATACACATGATGAGCTCTCAACTAAAAACAACCCAAAAGCACAAGATAATCGTCTTGGACATGTTTGCACAGTATTCAGGAGGCCAGACACTTCTGCCTCAGCCCAAACGAATCTGAAAGATGCAGTGTGTCTAATGAGTTTTGGATGGTTTTCTGCCTCTCTCCTGCAACCATAGAAACATCTCTGCTGAGCTATTGTAGGCCCAGAGTTATTGGTGCATCTGCGAACACACAGCAGCCCTTGGTAAGATTTATGCTTTTGAAAGTAGTAAAAAAAGCTTTTGAAGACGTTTAACTA